AGTACGTCACAGACCTGCCATTTGCTTACACATTATGTGGCCAAACATAAATAATAATATATAACTTATAACTACGAGTGTAAGTTAGTTAAAATAAGTTTTAGGTTAAAATTTCTATTCTTTATTAAGCAAAACATAATGATCTATTATATTGTATATAACATCTTTGTGTACCATGTATTTACGCAAATAAATGTCTTTATATTTATCCTTATCTTTATCTTTAAAAATAACGATCCCAAACTCGAATCAAGACGTAACAAAGATAGTATTTAGTCTTTATTTCCGTCTGTAACCCGGTTACTGTTAGGTACGTGACACAGGTATTCACGAACAGGAATGTGATGGCACCTAATATTAGACCAGTGACTAACTAGCTATCTCACAAACGAAGGTATCTACATTATCTTAAACACAATTACCTACAATATTATTCAGACACCAGTTACATACGGTGAAAGAAAACATCGTGATCATGATCATCATCATTTTTAAGTGATCATCCAATACCTCCGGCACCTAAGCCTTGAAGGGGAAGGGAGTGACAGACACTAACTGACTAAAAATCACACTGTTCCTACTCTTTCTTCAAGCCGGAGCTACGGCTACCCGTTAAGTCTTCTCTGTATTGGGCATAAAAATACAGGACCCATCTATGATGGTATAATGGCTACTTGAGGCGCGCATGGAACGCGACGCGCCGTACACTGGGGTATCATAAGGATTATAAGTTTGAAATCACCAACCCGCTTTGAGCAAGCGAGGTGGTTAATGCTCAAATCTTCTCAATGTGAGAAGGGGTCTTTGCTCAGCAGTGAGCAGTTATAGGCTGTTGATGACGATGACTAACTATTTATCTCACCAAGGTGTACGTACATTATCTTTAACGTGATTACTAGTCACAGATTGCTTGAACAAATATTTTAAATCTAACAAACGTCATGTCTTACGTGATGTTGTATGGTAAATGAGGAAAATTGTGATTAGTTAGGTGAGATGTGGTGAGGATCACATTTCGACTACGGTGATTAGGCTTCTACTTTTTATTTTTTACCTTTATCCTTTATCCTTCTTTATCTTCTACAGCAGTGGACGTCAAGCGGCTGATGATGAAAATAGTACTAAACATAGTCGTCATCATATTATTCTTACTATCAAACAGTGCGTGAACAAATATTTTTAACGTTTAAGTACATATAACAAACGTCATCGCTACGTGATTTCGGTATTGTATAAGGAAATAATACTCTATGGGAAAATATAATTATTTGAATAGTCCGTTTTGAGTCTAGGATCGACATCCTGGTTGGGTGAATTAATATAAAGATTTTGTCGATACCAGCTGCTTTAGACTTTTTGCTATAACTGTGAATTTTGAGATGATCAACTCTTAAGGTCTCTGTGGGGATGTGAACAAATTACTCTTGAGAGTGAGGTCTTTATTCACATTGCCAGTGAGGGACAATTCTATCTCTGACCACCGTAAGCACGAGTCTGCGGACGGCTTGCAAGGGTAACTCGCCGTCCGACCAGAACCAGACAGATGGGGCCCAATAAGGAATGCCCTAACGGAGGACTTAACGGGTTGCCGAGGCTCCAGCTCGAAGTGCAGGAGTAGGAACAGGGTGGTTTTTAGTCAGTAAGAGTCTCAGATTCCACTTTAGCCTCACCCAAGGTAGGAGAAATCGTGGGTATCATAAATAGTGAAAAGTAGGTGTTACATTGTAGAGGTACAGTGGCATTAAGTGCCGTAATGTGCACATCTGCCTATCCCTTCGGGGATAAACGGCGTGATGTTATGTTTTATTGTCATCACACGTAAAGATCTTTGTTCAGCAATAGGAGAATTCCCGCTGATAATTATTATTTTGATGGTAGGAGTGCTTATTGGGTTTTTCAAGGCAAGTCTTGTCTACATTAGTACAGTCAGCATAGCTATGCAGGTAGTCGCAGAGAACCTAACGGGTAACCGAGGCTCCGGTTCGAAGTGCAGGAGAAGGAACGGGGTGGTTTTTAGTCAGTAAGTCTGACACTCCCTTCCGCCTTACCTAGGCGGGAGCAGTCATTCGATGATTTTCCCCCCTTAATAAAAAGCTATGCAGGTAAAAAAGTAAAGATTGAATTAGTACAGAAACAGTAACTATTGGTTGGGTGACAGAAGATGTGGCTTGGTTAAAACTGTATAATCTATACAAGGTGTTGTTTTAAAGCCGCGTCATTTATTAGGAGGTAACTCGGCTATCGATTCTGAGTCCGAATCAATAAAAAAATTGTAGGTAAATATTTCTCATTTTTCTGTAAATTACGGAAATCCGTAAGTGTGAACTACACGCCGCCGTCTTGTAACTAGCCTTATAACACGGCTTAACACACACAAACTGAAACACAAAACAAAATTGCTGTCGCTTATTCTAAAATACTGTCGAACTTAAACGATATATTATAGGCGTATTTTTAACTATTGGCCCGAAATTTAGTCTTACGTTAACCCTTTATAACTTCTGTGACATGCCCCCGAGAAATGCCACGGTTTTAAAACTACACTTTGTAAAAAATAAAGTCATATTAGTTACACTATTTATTACTCAAAAACGGCTAAATCGATTTGGATGAGAGGTTTATTGTGGTTTGGTGGTGAGGTAGCTTAGAACAGGCAGATGGACATAGAATTATATTTACCCAATACTTTTGTTTTTTACTTTTACCAAAAATCACGAACGGGAACAGGAAAACACGGGATTGCGCGTACGAATTCGCGAGCAGAAGCTAGTTCAGTATAATAATAGCTACTGTCTTTGTGCAAAATGAAATTAAATTTTCTTACCGGCTTTGTAAATATAGAGTAGAATAGTGCCGACTGTACATAACAGGTGTTATATACAATGACATCAATAGTAAATAACTGTACAATCAGATCAGATTACATATAGATATTTGAGATTGCATAATATTTTTTGTACTTTGATATTATTATTGTATGAATTTTATCAGTAATTTCGTATTCGGGGAAATACCTAAATATTATATGTGTGTTTGATTGGATGTTCTATCTGTTTGTGTGTTTCTATCATTTTATTATGTAATAACATAACATCACGCCTTTTATCCTCGAAGGGGTAGGCAGAGGTGCACATTACGGCACTAAATGTCACTGTACAATGTAACACCCACTTTTCACTATTTATGTTATGAGTCCCATGTGATAGAGGGTGAGCCTATTGCCATATACCGGGCACATTTCTAGACTCTGCGCTACTACTGAGATTTTTAAAAAACCTTGTAATACTTTGCCCAACCCGTAAATCGAACCCGAGACCCTTTGCCCGACAGTCGCACTTGCGACCACGCGGCTTATGAGGCAGTCAATTTGGTATGTAATTTATTTTTTAAAAGTCGTTGTTACATCATGTGATCACATGTTTTCTTATCGTCATTAATTTAGTGAAGTAAAATTAAGTGTCATCTTTCCCAAAATAATCGATAAATTATAGTCAACAGTCCCGTGACAGGCCACTGCGGTATGACTATGACGGTATGACCCTCCTGTACACAAGAGGGTATGCCATAATCTTCAACACTTAGCAGGTGGAACAGAAATCCCAGATTAAATACATTGTTACATTATTCTCACAGAATTGTACCCACAAAACTATGTAACTAGAGAATTGTACTGTGAACCTGATTGAAAAAGAGTAACCTATGGAGTTTCATGCTCGTTCTTCTCCATAGGAATGAGCAAATAGTTTCACTTTTAATTTTTTTGTTGACGTTCATCGCCTTCCTGGTCTAAATGAAATAAATAATTTTGACTTTGACTTTGAAACTAAAATAACCGACTTCGAAAACCAAAACCTAAAAACAAGCAAATGCGACGTCGCATCGCAAAAATGTGCGAGCTCCCTCTACGCATCGCAAGAACTTGCGAATTGATTCGCATCGCGCATCAAAATGTCATCTTCCCAAAATCTTTGTTTCTTTTTCCTGTGTAACCTAAGCAATAACAGAAGTGCACACTTCTTTTTACGATCCATGTCACGACCTAGTTTTCAATTTAAAATACGTTTAGTATGGTTGACGGTCGTCGAAGAAATGGTCACCCTGGGAGACGCATTGTCGCACAAAATCGCATCGCAGCAATTCGTGTTGTAATTTTGTGCGTTGCGAATTCGCATCGCATCATAGTTTTGTGTACAATCCCTTCAACCCAAATAAAAATCTCTATAACCTCATTTAAACTTTATTGTACTACATAATTATTTAGATAAGGACAATAAATAATTATTATATACATTTACATTAAATATAGTGAAGATTTTTCGAGGATTAATTCACATTGAGTCTAAAACAGGTACTTACGACATTAGACATCCCATCTAAAGAGAGGGTAAGCAGACAACCTTTAACACCAGTTATGATAATTCAATAGAAAGTGTATATCTCCCTATAGGAAGCATAGTCTTATAATTCAAGCCACTGTATACTTTAAATTAATATGCAATATTTAATCATTTACCTTATCTAGGAATCGAATTTAGTAACGCTTAGATCACTAGAAAGTCTAGTTTACTTTTAAAACCAGTTCAAATTTTGAAGTTTATGCTTATAATGTCGTTATCTCAATAAAGACAGAAAATAATCGACATTCTATTTTGAGAAATACCAAGAAATCTAACAACAAGAACTAATTTGTAATTAATTTCAGTACATCAAAATGATAAACTTGTCTTATTTGACAAGAACATGTAAATAGAATAATATTGTAATTGTAACATAGGATGAAAATTAACCAATTTCTTATCATTTAAAAATCCATTACATATTTATAGATACATTTTCGATTCCAGGTATAAATTGTACGCGGGCCTAAAATTTTCCTTTTTTTCCTAAGCAACTTTGTGCATATGGATCTCATTCGATTAAATAGGATCCACTTATTCAATGCTTAATTAATTTCACACTTATTCCAACAAACAGGCTAGAAGAAGTGCTCCCATAAATGAAATCCGCTTGTGGAAACAGATCTAGAAAAAGATCTCATTAGATATATCACTTACTTCATTGGAAATCCCTCAAGGATAATTTCTTTAAACCTAAACTCAATGTGAACTAACCCTTACATCTTTATTAATATTAATTATTTTAACCTAGCTTAGCTAGAAGATCACATAATTTGACGATATTTTATAACATGATATCCATTAAACACATTCAAATAAATAAATTTCATAATTAACAAGCATATTCAATTGAATACTTTGATCCATTACATTTTTGGATATTAATTACTTGTGATGACATCTAAAAACAAACACACACGGATACACAATAAAACAAGATCAATCTGCCATTGATTAAATTATTCAAAACAATAAAAAGCTTTCGTTTAAATTTTTATATCATTTAAACACTTATAGGTAAATACAGATACATTTTATGTTAATACACAGAAGCACCTCTGCTTATCCTGCGAACACAGCTTCATATAATCCGTCCCTTAAACCAACTTTTTTTAAAGAAATTAACATCAAAAGCTGAGCTTTTAACATTAAATTCCGTTTAACACGTCCGTACCGCACGGCGATAACGCGACATCTGACAAAAATTTCACTATCGAGCGAGCATACCCTATTGTCGTCTCACTCGCACTTGTTGTGTGTATGCTGAGCTGGATAGTGAAAAAGGTGGCTTCACTCAACTGCTGCTGGTACCATTTCTCCGCAGCCAAGGTTTTGGGTAGCGTCTAGGACTGGTAATGGAGCAGTTGGTGCTCGAAGACGAGCTGAGCTCAGCTCATTACATTGCACCCAAAGCTCCAACTGGAATTAAAAATAAATACCCATTTTAGACTCTGGTACTTACGAAGATAGTTCATATATTTCTGGAGCTGGCATTCATAATGTGGTAGTCATCATTAGTGATTTACATCTCAGTTTTGAGCAATGGGTAATCATGTCCCTAATTCCTTCATATCTTCCAAACCAATGTTGAAATAGTTAAATAGGGTAGACGACTCATTTTTATTTTTATGTCCGTGTGGTAGATTATTTTAAAACATTACACACGTATTTTTTATTTTTTTACAGAAACGAATACTTTTGACGATATATAGATTTGAAATGTCGCCTGACGTCACTTCTATGTACATTTTATACGTAGAAATGACGTTTTAGCCCCCACTCCTAAACTTTGATTCGTTATATTTAAATATCATTTTATTATACAACAAAATAAAAAATACGTGTCTAATATTTTTCATTGCATAACTGACGGACTAATTAGATTTTTAATTTTCATACCCTGTCATCATCCTATTATCTACATTGATAGCTAAAAATCAAAGGGTGTACGGAATGGGGTGGAGTACGCGTCGATGATGAATAGGATAAAGGAATAGGAGGATAAGAAGGAAAGGGGCATGATTTAATAAGGGAGAACATGGGACCAGGGATTAATGACTAATTAAAAGGCAATTTAAAACCGATCAAATCATAAAGCGTAATATAAAGAGAGTTTAGAATGAACATCAATCCTGCAGCTGTAGCCAAATGCAATTTAGCGCTTGTCTACTTGTAGAGTAGAAAACTAAATTATATGGAATTGACGTAAATTTTGACACTTCTCAGTGTCATCCCCTTAGACAGGGTGGAATTTTGTAATGCCCCCTGAAGGGGAAGTACTCTTAATAATGTCGATAGAACATTTTAATCAAAGTAAACATTACTTTATTTTTGAAGAGAAAGAAAACGGCATTCAAAGATTTTTAAAAACTCGCTTGCCGCACGGTAATCGAACCTACTAAAATCTGTAATAGTTGCATCCTGTACTTGTACTGCATCGATCGTTAGGTTGAATAAGGATGAAATTTCTTTAACAAACTTCATAAATTGAATCATAAGAAAACAATGAAATCTTAAATACATATATTATTACTTCAATGATTGACCTAATGGTTTAAGCACTTCAAATATTAAGGGTGGCATTACAAAATTCTACACAGTATATTATGTTTTCTACTTTCCAAAAATCATTCAGTAAACTTTAAATAACAGCCAAAATATCCTATTAAAACAACTTATACACTACTTCACTTTTATAAAGCACCTGGCCTAACTAATTAATAAATATTAGACTTTAATTTCCAAGTATCCTAGATCAAACTCACGTACCTCAGGGGGCATCTTCTCAGGAGGGTGTCTGCAAGACCCTCCGCAATGCAGCTGCAGCAGTAATTCTGCTATAGCAGCAGCAGAAGTGTCAATAACTCGCTGCCGACATACTGCTATCGCGTGCACGAAGCCACCAGGGCCTATGAACTCATGCTCCATAAACACTGTCTTATCGTCCCAGAATATTGCCTGGAATGGAATTGAAACTGGTCAGTACCTAATATTATGTACCTATATTCAGCTAGATCAAGTAGACTGCATGGTTGGTGCGGTGGCTGGGCAGCCGGCTGCCGTGCAACGTGTCGCGGGTTCGATTCCCGCACGGAACAACTCTTTGTGTGATCCACTAATTGTTGTTTCGGGTCTGGGTGTCATTGTGTATGTGAACTTGTATGTTTGTAAACGCACCCACGACACAGGAGAAAATGCTAGTGTGGGGCAACGTTTAAAAACAATCATCCTTATACCTATGTAGGGCAAAAGATTTTGATAAATTGAACGCTATTTGGGGCAACATAAATATGGGCTAGTGAAACATTTCAACAGTTTTCTGTCAACGACACCTCTGGTTTTTATACGACTTCAAATACAACCGTCATATTTTGAGTTACAGTTAAAATCAAGTAATTTTTGTTTAATTACCTAACAGAACATCTTTGAAATCTACTTCTCGGCTGATACTAAAATGAGAGACCAAAACTCCAAAGTATAACCTACCTTAGAAGTAATAATAAACTTGGTGAACGGTTTCAGAAACCGCCTGTATCTGATGGTGCAAGCAGCCTGCACCACGGCGCCGCCTGCTGCCTTGATGTTGGCGTAGAGGCCCGTCCTTTCATAAAAGTCAGCTCTTGCGAAGTCCAGCTCCCGAAGGTAGCGGGCGTTGTTCATGTGGTAGAGGAGCGTGTCGATGTCATTTACTAGACACCATGCTGGAAAACGCAATACACATGTAATTAGTGGCTTGTTCAGACCTTTTATAAGGCTACATTCTTTTTTGTTGTTGTTGTCGCAAGTGCGACTGCCGGGCAAGGGGTCTCGGGTTCGATTCCCGGGTCGGGCAAAGTATTACTGGGTTTTTTAAAAATCTCAGTAGTAGCACGGAGTCTGGAAATGTGCCCGGTATATGGCAATAGGCTCACCCCCTATTACATGGGACTCATAACATAAATAGTGAAAAGTGGGTGTTACTTCTATGTGCACCTCTGCCTACCCCTTCGGGGATAAAAGGCGTGATGTTATGTTATGTTTATGTTATGTTACATTCTTTTTTCACCGGAACTGTCATTAATCGCGTTTTTTTATAGTAAAAGCCGGTAAAGACGGAGAGAGCAGATGGATCACCTGATGGTAAGCAATTGGCGCCGGCCATGGACACCTGAAACACCAGAGGCGTTACAAGTGCGCTACCGGCCTTTTGGAAACTGGGAATTTGCGGATTGTGGGGGGGTTCGGGGGATTGGATTCTGGGAAGGGGTTATAATTGGGCCTCCGGTAAGCACACGGCGAAACACGACGCAAGCGTTTGACGCCGGTTTTCTGTAAGACCGTATCACTCCGGTCGAGCCGGCCCATTCGTACCGAAGCATGGCTCTCCCAGATTTGAAAGACAGTGTTGTAATAACTAATTGTTATAAAATAATGATGCATTGAGTGGTTCATTCTAATTTCTAGCAGCCCAGAGCTGAAATTTGAAAAGACAGCAATGAAAAGAGATAACTGGTATTTGTACGTTTGTACGTTCTCGTACACACGGATAAATATTTTAATAGAAAAGCGAATTAACTATTCTGTTCAATCAAATAAAAACGGGTTGCAAACTTCAAAATATACGTCACAGAAAAAATATCCAATCGGTGCGCGTTTCTCGTACACCCGTGTGTACAATTGCGCGATGGGCACTCAACTCTCAAACAAGCGAAAGGTTAAGATAAACTATCCTACTTAAACACGTTCAAAACTAAGTGTAGGATTTAGGGACAGTTCGTACCTTCCACCTCAGTAGTATCCATGATACAGACTTTCTTCTTGAAATACCGTGCCTTAGCGACAGTGTACATCATCCTGGCGAAGTAGGCTACGTCTATGCTCCCGTACAGCAGTAGGGCACCCGCCACCACGGCCGCTGCCCATCCTGGCAGGCATACCGTCCACATCTTAACCTGGAACAGAAGAGCGTACTAGACAATCTGGGTATAATATACTGAACTCTAGAATTGGCATTAAAATACTTTTTTGTCGTAAAACAAATAAAGGTGATTTTAAACGACTTCAAAATAAGAAGGTGTTTCTTTGGACTTCATTATGTTGTAACGGGACATAAATATTGACTATAGACTGCCTCATAGGCCGATAGCATTCAATTCCCCAGTCGGGCAAAGAATTACTTGGCTTTTTAAAAAAATTTCAGTAGTAGCACGGAATTTAGAATTGTGCCCGGTATATGGTAATAGGATCAGCCCTTATTACATGGGACTCCTAACATAAATAGTTACATTGGTAACACCCTATCACTATTGGTATAGAGGATTAGATAGAGGTGCCACTGTACAATTACAGTGGCACCTCTGCCTACCCCTTCGGGAATAAAAGGCGTGATGATGATAATACTGAGACACGTAGGTAAAATGGAAACTTCGTATTGACTACATTGCTGATTCTCTACTTAACCCAAAGATTGACTGGGAGAAAATGACATGTGGCATTAAGTCCACCTTTATGTTATGTACATACCTTATTTTTGTGTGTAATAAAGGGTTAATAAACAAATAGTTTTACATGTTTTACCTATTTTGGTGCATGTGCAATTATAAAGAACCTATTACATAGAACAATTTCCATTTAATTAGGTGCAAACATTGATATATCGAATGGAAACAAGCTCTGGGTCTCTATAAATAGCAAGTAAACGTTGTCAAGGGTAAAACCAATCGATATGTACCGTAAATTATTTGTAATCAATGCTCCAGTGTACATATTTATCTACCAATACAGAATAAGTAGGTAGGGAATCGTCGCCGTCGGTATACTAGCAATTGTAGGTAACTAACTACTGGGCAAACTGCAATGGGGTAGACGACTAATTTTTATTTTAATGTCCGTCTGATAGATTATTTAAAAACATTAGACACGTATTTTTTATTTTCTCACAGAAACGAATAGTTTCGAAGATATATTGATTTGAAATGTCGCGTGACGTCACTTCTCAGTACATTTTATACTAAGAAATGACGTTTTAGCCCCCACTCCTAAACTTTGATTCGTTTTATCTAAGTATTGTTTTATTATACGACAAAATAAAAAATACGTGTCTAATATTTTTTCATTACCTAACTTACGGACTAATTATATTTTTAATTTTCATACCCTGTCATTATCCCCATTGCAATTGAAAAAGAAATCAGGATGTTATGTATCGAAATTAATATAGGACGTCGCAAGTGCCATGGAATAGTAACAACTAGTCAGTACCTACATCCTTACTGCATCGATACAAGAAATCTCTTGTGTCTGGTCGTATAAACGTTATGAAAAGTCAAAAACTAGCTAGCTAATGGTTTTCATTAAGTGTGGGAGAACCATGCTTCGGCACGAAAGGGCCGGCTCGACGGAAGTAATACCACGGCCTCACAGAAAACCGACGAGAAACAACGCTTGTGTTGTGTTTCGTCGTGTGAATGAGGTTACCGGAGACCCAATTACACCTCTCCCCTTCCCTTCCCCCCAATCTACCCAATCCCTGAATCCCACAAGAATCCTCAAATTCCTAATACCCAAAAGGCCGGTAACGCACTTTGTTACGTCATTGGTATTCCAGTATAACGCTGATTGCTTACCATCAGGTGATGCGTCAGCTCATTTACCGGCTTATCCCATAAAAAAACCCAAGGGGGGAGAAGGTGTCGTGGAGAACCTAACGGGTCACCGGGGCTCCGGCTCGACGTGCAGGAGAAGGAACGGGGCGGTTTTTAGTCAGTAAGAGTCGGACACTCCCTCCCGCCTCACCTAGGCGGGAGCAGTCATTCGATGATTTTCAATCCTTAAAAAAAACCCATAAAAAATGATACAAGAAATCCTCTTTTGTGACTGCCCGTATAAACGCGATGAATAATCAAACACTAGTTAGCGGTTTTCATTAATAGATGATGCTAATCCTGTATCCTAATCTGAGGTAAGTTTCAGTGTATGTTTAAATTTATCATAACTGAAAGCTAGTATTATAGGTAAATGTGTTTTTTGTACCTGGAAATGGTTATTTTATTACGAAGCTAAACTGTGATATAGGCTATATTTTGTCTTATGGCTACACTGACGAAGTCGCGGGTAGAAAGCTAGTTTCGATACCTAGGTCTAAGTACGAATATGTATCTAGTTAAGTGTTTGTTTTAATAACTCTTATCTACATTGCGTAGTTATTTTGTTACATACAAGCATACAACATGATTATTACACAATATTACGCGCCAACCCTGTTAAGATACTCAGTAGAGTACCTAAATTTTTTTTTTTTCAAATATTGCATACGTAATGGACAACAACGAAAGACCCAGCAGATATGTTGTAAAACTGTGACCTGCCACTGTACAACCACTACTATATTTATCGTAATATACCTACGTATTTTAACTGTATGTGTATCAGACTAATTATTTTACTAAAATTTAATAGTTACATCAAGCGAAAGATTAAAACGCCTTTTAGAAAAAGAATAGCATGTCGAATTTGAACAACATATTGCACAATTCATTTCAAAGGCACGTTGAATACTAAAACAATATGTTCACTCAATGACCTTAATCGATAAAAACTGTTTACTTATAGAATTATGACAACTACCATAACTAAAATCCTTGAAATAATGATAGATGCGCATTGGACGTATATTAATATACCTAGTTACAACAAATTCCACTTTGTATGATGTCCTCCGGCACTCGAAACTATTTACTTTAATTCAACCAAATAAGACTCAGTATTATTATATTAAAGCATTGATCTAAGCAGTTAGGTACTGAAAGTACTTAGCCTTGAAAACGCCTGAAGTTGGTACCTAGTAACATTACCTATATAGGCTATATACGACGTGAAATGCCTAGAAGTATATGAGTACGTATTTCTATATTGAATGCTTGGATAAGCGCTCCCTACACAGTAAATGGAGGGTGAATAGTTATGCTTATCGATCAGCTGATGACAAGCCCGAAAGCGACTAACTCTTTTTATTTTCATTCTAATGCAAGGCAGCACAAACTATACAGCCCTTTTACCTTACCCGAAGGCCTAATTGCACTGTGACGGTAAATACGCTAAGTATTTTAACAAATATAACAACATACCTTTAGTCTGCAACCGGCGAAATACAGATAAAAAATTAATACACCATATCCACAAAAACTAATGTAAAACCATCGTAATACACTGTTTTACTTCAAAAACTATATTTTATTATTATTTCTAGTAATTCTAGTGCATTTATTTCTTTAAAACTTGTTAAAATAACCTAGACACGGTGTCGCTATGGTATTTTTTCACGTACAAAATTCGTATGACAGTTTTCCATTGCGCGCGCAGACTGATCGATACTTCAAGAAAATAATGTTGCCCCGCGAATTTTGACACCGGTTTTTTTAAGGTTTTTTAACAGAATGTGGCACAGGTAACTGGATAATAAGGTTAATAAATAAAAAAAAATTTTTTTCAAGATTTTTGTAACCTTTGTTGATTAATATATTTTATAAGTTACGTAGATATGTATTACATAATAATGATCATATCATGGCATGACAAATCGCTTTTTTAGTAATTAGAGGAGACTATGTTCAACAGTGGATGTCTTGTGAAGTTGTCACCACAACTGGACAGCAGACCTCCACTACTTAAGAACATTTCAGAGATTGCCATAATCTCTATCTCCAATCTCCACGCTTGGTAGCCGGGTTAGATTATAGTTTGAAAACGCACAAACAAACAAACAATAAGATCTCCAATGAACTAATTAGGAGGTCCTTTTTGAAAAATCTTAATAATGCCTGGTGGTGAAGAAGTTACATATTTATCGCAAGCAATAATTTGCTATAAACTTATGTGCAGGCGATTCTTAAATTGAAGCAGCGAGTTCGTTAACAAAAATCATGAAATTATAACTCAATCTATCCAACATAAATGAATAAACAATGAAGAAGAATTTATAGATGAGCCATAGTACCTAAATGTTAGTTACATTCCTTGTAACAATGTTCTTAGATACGTAAACAAATATTTTAAAATTAATTAACTTCCTGACTGCATGAATACCTGTGATAAAAAGCTTATTCAACCATTATAATGTAGTACCTAGACAATCTTACTTTTTTCCTCACATTCCTTACACCCCTGTTCATAAAATCATAACGCAAAGTTTACAATCTCACCCACGATTCGACATTTTGACTGGAACAATGAACACGCATACCAACAGCTATTCGTCTGGACCTACAAGAGATCACATTTCATATGTGGAGCAGGTTCAACTTATACTGGACTATGAAACACTCGGTGCTGGCACACGGACGCGCCGCCATGTCGGTGACCTCGAATCGTGATTCTTTCTCCCTCATTCTTGTACATAAAGAGTGAGACAGCAATAACACGATCCGATTCGAGAAATGGTTATCCGTAGCACGTCGTAGTGACGTGTCAGACTGGGGTGTGTAAACAGCTTCGACTAAACAACGAAATAAACTTAATTTTGTTGTTTAATTTAGTTATTTTCGTAGTAAAATGCGATCTGTACGTGATTTTAAGTACGATGTGATAAGTTTAATAAGATATGTTAAGGAGCGGCCGTGTTTATGGGATAAAACGTTGGAAAATTATAAAGATCGAACGGAACGGAGGAGCGCTTGGGAAGAAATTTTCAACTTATTGGATGACAGTTATGAAGATATGACGCCTGAAGAAAAGAGAATCACGGGTATGTAATGGAAACAAACATGTTGTTCTGAAGTTATTGTATTGGATTGTCAACTTCTATTGTCTGTAATATTTGCGTAAAGTTTATAAAAATATTTACTAATATAATATTCCAACCGAGATTGATAGGTATTGTAATCATTGATAACGTGCATGATACGTAGTACACAAGTACATGAGAACTTAACTCTTATCATCAAGGATAAGAATTAATTTTGATGTTTTTTTTCTTCTTTGGCAACCGAGTCTCCAAAATGGTGTTGTCGACTATACTGCCAGTGTCGAGTGGTGACGGCAAAATTATTGGACCGTCGAACATAACTTTGCGGTAGTTTTTAGTTGTTAGTAGCTGAAAGGACAAAACAATTATTATTATTGTAATTGAATGTAAACATTAATTGTCAGTTGACAAGTTACTGAATCGAACTCGGAAACTCTGGTTTCGTTTGCCAAATAGAAAAAAAAAACTCTGGTTTCTCTTCTCTATAATATTATGATGACGATGACGTAGATATACTTACTAAAAAAAAACTGTCTGATCAACCGGGCTCAATCGGAGTGATACAACGGCCTCAATGAAAACCGGCGTGTAACAACGCCTCTGTTATGTTAAGCTGTGTGAATGAGGCCTCGTGGAACACAAATTTTTGTTCTGTGGCAAACCCGTGGAAGGGACGCTGGGTTCCTCGTCCCTTCCTTTTTTTAATGGCCGATAACGCACTTGCAACTCCTCTGCTTTGCAGCCAGTATGGTATTTACCATAAGGGCTCTCGGAGCCTGTGCCCAGGGCCCCCATCCGCAGTGGACTCTAAAGGACCTACAATTTCTACGACGGACACACACCCGGTATACCTTGCGCGGCAACCGTATGCCCCGCAACATGTAGCGGGTTCGATTCCCGTACTAAGCAAATCTTTGAGTAATCGACTAATTGTTGTTTTGAGTCTTGGTGTAATGTGTATGTGAACTTGCATGTATGTAAATGCACTCACGATACAGGAGAAAATCCTAGTGTAGGGCAACGTTAAAAAAGGTACATATTCCAAAAGAGCCCTAATTTGTTGTGTGCCCTAAGTCCCAAGTGTAGTGTAAGACGGCCCTGTCTGCAGGTGTCCATGGGCGATGATGAATGCTTAAAACTAACTTAGAAAATAAATAACTTATTCATCTTTTGTTACAGGAGAACTAATCCTAAACAAATGGACAAACATCAGGGATACATTTAACAAAACATTAAAAACTAGAATGGGTAAGCCAAAGAAGAAATACGTACTACACGAACACTTAGAATTCCTAATGAAAATCATACCTGACGCTGCGAATGAAAGCCATAGAGAAATGAATTTAGACCCTACTTTTATGAAACAAGAACCTGAAACTAGTTATACAATAACTACTGAAACAGTGCCTGAAACTTCCAGTGATTTCACCATCAGTAATGTCACTAGTTTTGGCAGTAAGAAAAATGATTTTGATGCCGCTAAAGTTGATTCAGTCAGCGAAGTTAGCTATAGTAGTACGAAACGTTCAAAACGGGATTTCGACTCAAAATCAACAGATGTTAGTGATTACAGTTACCGTAAGGGTAAAAGTAAAAAGAAATCCAGCAAATTCGTTTTTGATGATGAAGAATCTGTGACTAGTCGAAAGAAAACAAGAAAAAGTAGCATCAAAGATACAAACGATGATTCTTCAATCATGGATTCTATAAACGATATTAATTTTGTTGAAGTTGATACAAGTTTTGCGAATGACCCCCGGATAATGAACGAAGATGAGGCATTTTTTGCGTCTTTATTACCTACTGTTGTGAAGTATAATGAAAATGAGAGACTGGAGTTCAGGCTTGAAGTGCTTGGAGTCATGAAGAAGTTGAAGGATAAAAGGAATTGGACTGCGGATTAGTATTTATATTTGAATTGAAGAATTAGTAAAGGCAGAACAGGCAAGACCTTTGTAACATGAACTTGAGTTGCCAGTTTTAAAATGGCAGTCTAAGAGTCGTCAATAGTTTTTTTATAACACCAATTATTTAATCACAGAGCTTATAAAAGGTACACGCGATACTTACGATGTTATTTTTGAAAATCAGTACCTATTTAATGAAAATTGTCTGTGCCTATTTCCAGTTGTGCATAGGTTTTTAATTTTTAATACAATTTGTATGATTTTTATACAATCACGCTAAAACAAGCTGATTTTGTATTTTTGCATGCGAAGACTGAATAAATGTAATACATATACTTAGTAATATATTATTTTATAGTCATAATTAGAAATGTGTTTTATTAAACCAGATTAATTTGTTTTCTTTGATACATATTAGTATTATTTTTATGAGTTCCAAAAGTGCATTAATTGGGTAGTTTCCAGGATATGAAAATTAAAATCTAATTAGCCAGTCAGTTAGATAATGGAAAAATATAAGACACGTATTTTTTTTATTTTCGTTGCAAAACTTAAATAAAATGGCGCTAAGTTTAGGAGTGGGAGGTAGTTACGTCATAGCGTGCTACAAAATATGACACGCTGCCGTGACTGACGTCACACGATATTTCAAATTAATTATATAGTCGAAAGTATTTCATTTTGTGAGAAAAGAAAAAATACGTGTCTAAAGTTTTAAATTAATGTACTAGACGGACATTAAAATAAAATTTAGGAAAGTACCCTATTGGTTTAAGGGAAATAAAGGTTTAATTCTTGGGGGTAAATTAAGTAAAATGGACCAAGAACATAAATAAAATCGCCTTAATTTTAATAGATAAGTTTTAATGATCATTTTTTCTGTAGCATTTTTAAAAATAATGTTTACAGTATGTAATCACAAAAACACAAATGTTTTTAATTAAAAAATAATGAAACTCCTAAACGTTAATTAATAGTTTCCTTTTACAGCTAATAAATTTAAATTTCTAAGTGAAAAATATAACAAAAACGCATCTGCAATACTGTATTTTTTCGTTCAAACTATAATATCGGAGGTACGACGCTACCCACAATATTATGAGTCACAAGAACAATAACAACATGCTGGAATATATAAAAAATTCGAACCTTACTTTTAAGAAATGGCAGATTTTTTTTCTTCCAAAACGAAATAATACGTAGGTTTCAAAAACTCTCAGAATAATTATTATAAGTTAGTCGTAATATTGGATGTGATAATTTTAGTGTCTTTAGCGGAGGTGGCGGTTACGTGAGCCGACTGCGCCACGCAACGGACGCGTCTCGATACACTATTAGCCGTCACACACTAAACACGAGCTTACGACTAATTTAAGTTGAACTATGGGCTCCATAAAACCACCCATCGAGTGCACATAATTACCCCATTACAATTTTCACTATACGACCCAAAATAGGTCGAAACTCACTAAATTCACTAAAATTTAAAACCCCCCCATTCCACTATTTACAAATTCGGAATGAATTTTGATTCTAAACGTCGAGAATTTAGTGTTTATTTCTTTTTTTTTACTTTTTCACACTTTATTCTTGTAATTGTAATTAGTAACAAATGAACCATTATTTTCTTCGTTTACTATTACGGCTTTATATACACAAGCGGTAGAATACTGTACGGAAAATGAATCATCGGCTTAGAGCCGGCCCGGTACGCCAGCGAGCAGGCTCTGTGCTCGACTGGACTGAGTAAGACGTATAACGCTACATTATATATCGGTACTATAGTGACTAGATTGTCCCCTAAACAAAAATTGGGGATCAAAAATTTATTTACATCTTTTACACTATGGATATCAAATTCACACTAGCTTAACACATTGCTACTATTAAATGTTTATATATTTATTCATTAAATACAGCGATATTAACGCCCTTTGGAAACATAATGTAAAGCGCAGGTGAGTAGAGGGCGCCACATAAACTATTGGCACCGAAATATTATGATAAACAAAATCTCAAAAATAATTCAAATCACCAAGTTAAAGCTCCCATCGTGTTTATGAATAGTTCACTTTGTGCTGTGTCACATGGAAGTAGCTTACAACTAAAACTATGCGCAAATATACTACACTATATAAATAAATATACATACATATTGGCTCGAATCAAACGTGACAACGCGCTAATGAAACGAATCATTACCTCAACATCAGTCTAGCATCGTTATGAAGGGCTATTATAAATGTTATAAATTAATACAACTACACCGCTAAAAGACGATTAAATTCATATTTGAGTATGGCCTGTAATCACTAACGGAAACACTTACGTCTATTAGAGGTAACCTAGAAATACATTTTTATACAATTACATATATCGATACAAAATATGTTTATGGATAATATGTTACAAGAAATAAAAAACAACGCTACAAGAAGTCCACGTTCGAACTACAAATAAAAACGAATTTGAACTTATCGGTGACATACTTAGAAAATAATAACACGTAAAGGAACTTACGAAAAATTATTCGATCAACTTTAACAAAAAAAAATATAATCGCGCGTATCCAAACTGCTGTGAACTTAGCTACCGGTTATTTTTTTACTTATAAAATTATATACAAAACAATTTCAACAACTTTTTTTTATAATACACCTAAAAAAGTGAAACCTCGTCAGTAAAGAGATCGCGTTTCAGTCTGGCGTGGCAGACGGAGTATATAATAATAATGCCACAGCCTTAATGTAGAAATCGGTAATCACAATGTGTCGTATGTCAGTTGGTTGTTGTAAAGTCAATGTTGGGTTTCCTCTGGCGGGGTTTCTTGGGACGAGGCGGGGCCGGCTCGCCGTTGCAGCAGTGGCAGCCGCGCTTCACGACGCCGCGGCCGGACGCGCGCCGCCTGCCCTCCGCGCTGTCGTGCCTGTCGTGTCTATCATGTCTTTCATGCCTGTCATGTCTCTCGTGTCGGTCGTGTCGCTCCGCGTGCATATCAGGCGAGCGCTCGCCCGCCCGAGTCTTCCCGGACAGGCTCCGCGCTGCGCCAGCGTCTAGCGCGTGATGGTACATGCGCTTCGGAGGATACGTACGAAGCGGTGGGGCGTGAGTGTCGTCCGCAGACGACCCATCTGCACTACAACGCCTCTCAATGCCCCGCGCCTCTTTTATAACAGAGTCTAATCTCATATGAGCACCAATCCCGCTGGAATCCGTAGAATTATTCTCTTCGAAGGATGGGCTCTTGCAACATTTGTCGCTGTCGCTACTAAAATCAAGTGCGCGTCTTGTCTCACGTTCTGAAGCGGAGTTCGACTCCCAGAATAGTTCAGTTCGCTCCGGAGAAGACTCTTCATCTTCAACGTCTCCAAAATCTCTCGAGTCGTCGGCCATCATTTTGGTGTGGTGATTGTGCATGAGACCTTCGTGTTCGTCAATAAGGAACCTTGAAGTTTGTTCCCTCTTGTTGCCGTAGCAGACTCGCCTGATGACCTGTGTGGTGTTGTTACCTGTGGCGTGGACGATGGCGGACGCTGTGTTAGAGAGGTGCAGTTCTCTATTGTCATTAAGAATGCTGTCGAATCTTGTGAGTCCGTCGTCCTTGACGAGTACTGAGGATAAGTTGATGCTGTTCTGTGTGTGTGGTCCGGGTAAGGAGTTGATCATGTTGTCTATGTCGGAGTACTTGACAGTGTTGTGTGGTCCGCCACTCTCGGCGGTGGCCTGTGAGATGACGGTGGTCTGCGGCGCCGTCATCAGGACGGTGCCGGGGGCGCGGTTAGCGTGGAATATCGTCGATGTTATGTGACGACCTTTCAGACCGCTTATTGTGAATGGCTGCACCTGGAAACAATTACACAAATACTTAATCAACACAGTTTATTGTAAAGTTGGTAAATAACTCCAATGCTACACTACAAAATATCGAACAAAAATTTATGAAAGTATAAGTAAGATACAAGACTTGGCGAGACATGTTTAATTGCAAATTATTTTCAACTTAGGAATCGGTAAACACGACACATTTTCGATTACATTAAATCATGAAACATTTTATACTCTTGTTCTAGTATAGCAATATTTACATACCTCTCCCTCATCAGTGGGTTCACTATGGAAGGTGGTATTAGGATGAGACCGGGCAAACTCCTCCTGGTCCAGCGCTATAGTGGCCTGCATCCCATCCTCACTCACAGTGACAATGCCCACGTCTTCTAGACCTAGACCTAGGTCATTCTGATCGTCATGCATGTTCGTCCTAGGTAATAACTGGTCGGTAGCAATCTGGTCATCTAAATCCGGTTGGGATATGGTATGATGCATCATTGGTTGTGCTGGAATAAATGTTGAAGGGATTAAACTTCTTGTATGCCAGTATATGAGACACAATAGAAAACACATTGTGTCTCGCATCTGCGTTCACACACCACAGGTTCATATTGAGGTATAATCTACTGATAATACCTAGTAAAGTATGTTATTGAAGGTTTTGGTAGTTTATAATTTAGCGGTTATAGGACTAGTGTAAGAAATGTAATAAAAGGGAAAGGAGGTATAAAAAATCTGGTAAGTTTGATTGAATTTAATTTTGTAAAACCTTAGTAGTAATATAGTATCATGTATATTTGGAGCATTGTACTCTAAATTATTGGGAATTCGTTTTACATTATGCAAACTGACTACATATATATGTAATCTGACTCTGTGTTGACTGTACTCAGTTTGCACAGAACTGTACTGTACTGTACTCAGTTTGCATATAACTGTACTGTACTGTACACAGGTTGCATATAACTGTACTATACTCAGTTTGCATATAACTGTACTGTACTGTACTCAGTTTGCATATAAATGTACTGTACTGTACTCACGTCAGGTTGCATATAACTGTACTGTACTGTACTCAGGTTGCATATAACTGTACTGTACTGTACTGTACATGACAGTTACATGTAGTTAAAAATAATCCAGTCAAAATTTGAATTACTAAACATAAGGCTAATAAAGATTTAAATTTTTATCAAATAGAGATAATAGTGGAAACGTCCAGACTTTCTTCACGCATTGACAGAGCCAAAGAAAAGGCAACAACTAACTATTAATTAGCTAACAACTTAGAATTAGTAGGTATAACTAATTTACTTTCAGGTAACAATAACTATCATTGAATATAACACTTACGAGTATGCGAATGGTGACCATGATCCTGGGTGTGATCATGCGCAGGTGAGGCGGCGAATAACAGCTCAGCTTCAGGGAATAACTCCGACGCAGATGGAGAGTCCACGCCTAAGTCCTCACACTCCTCCGACAACGATTTCTGAGAAAGAAAATCCTATTCGATACATGCGTATATTAATTAATAAAACAGAAATTAAAACACGTTGGAAATAAAATTAAAATTAACATAACATAGGATAGATTTTTCACAACTGAAACAATAATTATTATTTTGAAAAGAAGAATGCAAAGAGCCTAATCCTTAAAGAATATCCATGAATACCTATCGTGAGACACACTAAATTAACTAAAATCGCGGGTTACTCGCGTGAATATACTGAGAAAAGCTCTACTAGTTTCACAGTGAGCTGCGCGACGTCGCCGCGACCGCGCACGCTGCTCATGAGGAAGAACCCCTCTGTGGTTCGAAACTAGTAGAGCTTTTCTCAGTATATTCACGCGAGTAACCCGCGATTTTAGTTAATATCCATGACATTAGATTTTATGTAATCTGCAGACCATTTCTAAATTCAATATAATACAACTTTGTCAACTAATTACCCAAAACCTTAGAGGTGATAAAAATACAGTTTTTTTGATAATTTTACAGACTACGCCTATGCATAGGTCTTTATAAAAACCATATACCTATATAATAGTATAAGAAATATAAGATAGCATTCAAAACACGTAGAAATTAAAATAAACAACACAACTAAAATTAATACATCCAAGTGGACATTATAAACTATTTATGAAATGTTAAAAATAATAACATAAAATCCTTACACATCTTATTATTTAAAGGTATAAAGACAAAGTTTGCCATAAACCGGCCAAATCAAATCAAGACTCCATGCTATTAGTGAGATTTGTAAAAAACCGAAAGCAATTTATTACCTGTAATCTCAGTTCATGTTCCAGAACAGCATATTTGTGTCGCAAAGCCGCAGCAGACACGTGACTCAAACGGTGCTGCCTTTGCTGTGATCCATCCTTCTTCTGTACAACCTACACCAGAAAAATATACGTCACAATTGTCTATGGTTAATTTTGAATGAAGAATTTTAAGAATTTAGTTGATTTTTTTTTATTTATGGCTTGTTCGTTTTAGAAGTGATAGGTATGAATTTTTTTTATTTTTTAATTTCATTGATTTACTTTAAAATTAATTTGGATACAGACAATTAGATTTTAAGCTTAAAGCTACAGTGATGAACAGTTTTCAAAGCCTACAAACATGAATTACCTGCCCAAATAATAATGAGTCCAATGACGGCAAAGCAAAGCTTTTCCATTTTAAAAAACACTTTTGTAAGAACAACAATATACCTTATAACTATCACATTAAGATTTAAACTTCACAACAACTAATGAAGGAACTCCAATTACAATGATCCGAGTGAAGGGGGTCATGCTGTAATGCGGGAATAGACTTGACAATGAAATTACATAGTTGGATAGACGTTGTCAATCATGCAAAAATTATAATCTAGTCGCTAGAGAATGTTGTAGAAATGAAGCTTACTCCGAGGTCAGGAGCTTGACAAAATAAAAGACAAAGACTAGTTAATGAAGAGGGGAGGCAGAATTAATAAACACCTAATGTTTGTCCGTGTCCGATCAGCGGCGATGCCAGTACATCATTTAGAAGTGACATTTGCGAATCAGTGTCGTTCTAGTAGACGTTGCGTTCGAAACGCTACTAGGAACAACACTATAGAAGCTAATGCGAAACAACACCAAGCATGCGTAGTGCTGCATATATTTGACTTAGATTAATTTTATTTAAATTCCAATATTCGAAATGTCGCATTTACATGATGTATAATCAAAACGGCACACCAACGAACGAAGAACAGCTGACAAAAATAAATCGATGCGTGCATTCTACTAAACAGGCGACTAAATCGTTTAGGTTATCAGCGTCGGTTCTACGATACGGTGTACCTGATGGTAGCCCTTATCGTCGCAATCTGACGCGTCTATATCGTAGCCGCATCGCGGCGAATCGTCGTGTGAACCGACCATGTACGACCTTTTTGAATCGACGTCGAACATCTTATCAAAAATCCTTTGCGCCTCCATATCGGGACTGTATCTATCTGGGATCGGGTCCTGAAGTTGCAAAATGTGTGTCATACACGATACGAACGGCTTTAATACAATTTGGAACTATCAACGAAATGTAATACATATATTTAGAGATAATAGTTCCAATATAAGTAACGAAAGTGTACTTACAAGCACAGTGCGCTCCATGTTGTCTGTCCGACCACCTCCTCGTAGCTGTAGTCGTGAGGATTGGCTGTGGCCGGGAGATGCCAAGGCTCTCCTCCGTCAGGGCTGGATCCTCGGTCAGGCTTCATATCCTGCGCATCACGATCTCTCCATGGGGAACTGTTGGCTCTCGTCTCAATTAACTCAGGCGGGGCTGGTGCAGGGGCCGGAGAAGCGGTACTATCTGGCGGCTGTACAGTGGTTGCAGTCGCCAAGTTGAACGCTTGAAGATTGTGAAGTGCCGCAGTTGGTAAGCGGACATGTCGCACCCCTGGCCGTGCTAACACTGGCTTCAGTCCAGCAGGACCGATAAGACGCTGCAGTAGGAGTGCATTTCCTCCACCTTCTCCACCGCCCACTGTAAGTAGCTTCGGGCCTCTGTTTGTCACTATAGCAATTTGTTGGCCACCTTTGATCATAGAAACAGGTAGAATGTAATTAGCTGGCATGAGTACGGCGGCTGTGGAAGGTTTGCCAGCCGTGCCTCGAGCAACGGTGATTGTTTGACCATCAGCCACGATGACGTTACGTTGTGGCTGTGGTCTAGGTTGAGGTGTGGTTGGTGTTTCCTGTTCAAAAGTAAGTTTGCGCACTACTTTGCGTGGACTGTCTTGTGGGGAATGGCTGTCAATGCAGCTATCGTTGCAATCTCCCTGGGATGTACCACAGCTACTGTCCTCAGACCCCATTGTCCTACAGGAGTCATCCGCAGGACTCAAATCTCGGCGACGATAACTAGAGCTCTTCTTGCGTTTCGATGACCCTGGATTTGAAGGTGGATTGTTTCTTCGTCGAGGTGCAGGTTTATCTTTGTCAGGAGAATTTTCCACCTGTTCTTTATATTCAGCTAAGATGTAAAGAATTCGTTGAGTAGTCTGCTCATCTTCAGCCGGTTTTTGTGTGGATGGCTTTGGAGGAGTAGTGTTAAGTTTTAGTGTATTCGGAGGATTCGAAGACGCTTTTGGTCTTGATTTAGACTTTGAACTGGATTTAGATTTAGATGGCGCTGGAGCGTCAGATGTTGATGGTTCGCTGGTAACCGTGTGGGGGATCTGACTATGCGACGATGAAGAGGGTGACGAGTCAACGATACCCGAAGAATCAGGTGACCGTGCGAAAGACGAAGTTGAAGGTGTTGACGTTGATGACGGACCTGGTGTTGCTGACTTTTTGTTCACGTAAGAAACGTTCAAAGGTTGTGTGTTCCCGATGGAGTAGAGAACTTGGTGCTGCTTATGTGGTTGGGCACGAGACGTCTCTCCAGAAGCTGAGCTGGTAGACGCCGTTGACTCAGTCTTGTCTTTTGACTTTTTCGAACCCTTTTTCGACTTCGGTTGTACCGTGCTCCTTTCTTTGACTTGTTCCAGTACTAAATCAAACTCTCTAAGCTGCTCCAATGTCGATGAGCTCATGGACTCAGTTGATGATTGACTTTCACTGGCACTTGGTGCAGTTGCAGTTTTAGCGGGTTTGCTAGTTTGCTGGGTAGATTGTTGGGTGGTCTGTTGGGTAGTTTGTTGGCTAGCCTGTGGGGTGGCCTGCTGGGTTGCCTGTTGGGTAGATTGTTGGGGAGTTTGAAGGGTAGTTTGGTGACAAGTTTGATGGCTGTTTTGGTGGCTCGTTTGGTGGCTAGTTTGATGGCTGGTTTGGTGGCTCGTTTGGTGGCTCGTTTGGTGGCTAGTTTGGTGGCTCGTTTGGTGGCTCGATTGGTGGCTCGATTGGTGGCTCGATTGGTGGCTCGATTGGTGGCTGGATTGGTGGTTGGCTTGGTGGCTCGTTTGATGACTGGTTTGGAGGTTAGTTTGATGGCTAGTTTGGTGGTTGGCTTGATGGCTGGTTTGCTGGCTAGTTTGATGGCTGGCTTGTTGAGTAGTTTGTTGTGCAGTTGGTTGCGAAGTTTGTGGTACTCTTACAGTTTGTTGCCCCAGCTGCGGAGCTGCTGTAAGCACCAACTGTTGATACACAGGCTGGTTGGTCCCAGAGATGACATTTCTTTGTATTTGGAAGAATGATGGCCGCACAACTCTCCCTCCAGACACCACTGGGGTGCTTTGCTTAACATTGGCAATTTTATTCGCATTTGCGTCAATACTGGTTGTTGTTGGGTAGCGTGTGAGTTTTCATTTGTCGCCCCAAGGAGTTGATTTGTTTCGTCATTACTTTCTGTATTGGCGTGAGTTGGTGTTTGAGGAACAATCTTTATTATCGACGGCTCTATCTCATTCTGTTGTTTTTGATTTGACTCATCTATTAGGTCTGAGCTAGGTACAGTGATCAGGTTAATAGTTTGACCTCCAGAGAGGTTTACAGGTATTTGTCGAGTGTATATCACACCGCCGTGGATGTTCATTGGCGATATAGTTTGTTTTATTTGTTGAACTAAATTCGGCTGAGCTTGCGATGTAGAAGGCTTCCTCAATAATAGCGGTGGACTTCCAATTTGGCTTATATGATCTAAATTTATAGCATTATCATTTGCTTGGCAATCAGGGTTTTCTTCGGGTGACATTTCATTTCCATTACTCATGTCGTTTTTCTGTCCACCATCTTGATAAACTTGCTTCCCAAAGGCTTGGTTGAATTTAGGTAAACTCGTTCCCTTTTCGGGAGAATTGGTTTTAGGTGATGAGCTTTGTATGAATTTCGCATAATTTTCTTCGTAAATTGAACGAGATTTTATTTCTGCGTCTTTAGCAGCGCTTTGGGTTGGACTGAGGTCTTGTGTCTCTATTTGTTTAGGCTGAGCTTGTTGTAGATTGGGTGCCTCGACCGGTTGTAATCTGAGAACCATGCTCCGTTGGTGAGGCCCATTTAACTGTATAGGTTTTCCGTCAGCGGATTTACAAACAAATTGTACCATTTTCTGTTCATTTCCTCCTTGAACGTTTGTTAGGTTGGTTAGAAGATTTACTCTCTTCAGTAGCTGACCAGTATTTGCATTCTTTTGGTTTCCAGCGTTCACAATGTGGAGAAGTTGATTGCCTTGTTGCAGACCTGCATCTACTAAGGAGAGCCCACTGAAAGAATTTGTTTGTGAAGCCGGTGTTCCATTCGACGTAGGGCCAGTAGGCACAGTTTTGTTCTGCACGATGTGCAAAACTGGAGTATTATTCGGGTTGTTTATAACAGACTGCTGGCTATTATCAACTAAAGTGATTTGTTGATGGTTCCCTGAAGCACTCTTTCCTTGTACTATATGTAAAACTTGGGGTGTCGAGGTTGCTGACTGTTTTCCGTGCTATTTGTTTGATTCAATGGCGGCGGGAGTATTTGGGCTAAAGCTTGTTGTAACGCCATAGCATTAATAGATGTAGTTTTTTGAAAATTATTTGTCGTTTGATTTGTGGTGACGTTGCCTTGCCTTATTTTATGGGAGAACATGTTTACAATAGCTTGTGTTCTGTTATTCGAGACGGGTTCTGAGGTTGCCGTAATTCCCGCTGCATTCATCGCATGGCAATTTGGTCAGTTTTTTCTTGTGGACCGTTTTGCTGCAGCTGCTGATGTTGTTGCTGCTGCAGTTGCTGTTGTTGTAGTTGTAATTGCTGCTGTTGTTGTTGTAACTGCTGCTGCTCTAGCTGTTGTTGCTGTTGCTGCAACTGATGTTTCTGCTGCAACTCATGCTGTTGCATTTGTTGCTTTTGCTGTAACTCTTGTTTCTGTTGTTTTAATTGTTGTTGTTTCATTCCTGTTGTTGTTGTTTTTGTAGCTTTAATTGTTGCTGTTTTAATTCTTTTTGTTGTTGCTGCTGTAGTTTGAGCTCTTGTTGTTTTTGTTGCTTTTGTTTTTGCTCTTGTTTTTGCAGCTGTTGTTTGAGTTCTTTTTGTTTCTCCTTTTGCAGCTTTAGTTCTTGTTGTTTTTGTAATTGCTGTTGTTGTTTTAGTTCTTGCAATTGCTGCTGCTGTTGTTGTTTTTCTTGTGCCAGTTTTAGCTCTTGTAAATGTTGTTGGTGTTGCAGTTCTTCTTGTTGCAGTTTCAGCTCTTGTAAATGTTGTTGTTGTTTCAATTCCTCTTGTTCCTTTAACTCAAGTAAACGTTGTTGTTGTTGCCTCTGTTCCTCCTCTTGTTGTTGTTTAAGCTGATGTTCCTGCATCTGCTGTAGTTTTTGTTGCTCTTGTTCAAATTGTAACTGGCGCAGTTCTAACTGTCGTTGCTCATATTCGTGTTGTTGTTGTTGAAGATGTTGCTGTTCTTGTTCATACTGCTCGTGTATAAGTTTCTGCTGGTGTTGGTATTGGTCCTGATGTTGATATTGCTCATGCTCTTGCTGCATCTGATGATATTGCTCGAGTTCTGGCTGGAGTTGCTGGTATTGTTGCTCGTGTTCTGGTTGATGCATATGCATGTGTTCGTGCTGCTTGAGATGAGGATATTCTTCATGCACAGGCACAGACACAGGCACAGGCGTCTGCTTATCAGTATAATTATACATCATACTCATATTAGGATTGGGTTCTAAAGGTGGTAAATGCGTATGGTTAGTTTCATATGAGTAATCAACGTTATTCATCATATTTTTTTCAAACATCTGTGGATATTCATTGTTCTCAAAATTATCATTTACCTCTTCTTTAATTTCAGGTGTTTCTTCCATTTCTATTTTAATTTCTGGTTTTATGTCTACATCGACGGTGAAATTACTAGCCATCGGATAATTCATCTCATCATGTGATGGTACTGGCATTGACTGGATATGTTGAACGTATTCTTGAGCCAAAGGCATGCTCAAATCAGCGGTTGTGAGTTCTGTGTACTCTGTTTTTATCACAGATTGGTCATCGCCGGGACTGTTTTCAGCGGAACATTGCGATGGACTAACGTTCGACACTTGCGTGACTCGAGGATCACATGTGACAGGATTCTGAGCGGACGCGCTGACAGGTAATTGTCCAACTTGCACAACCTGAACAACGGCTTCGAATGGCACAGGATCTATAAAATCTGGATCTGTAAGTCCGTATGGGAATTTGGAATAGTCGAGCAAATCTTTTTTATCTTGCCTTTTCATCCAATCATAACTTAATTCTGCCATCGTCTGCTCAAAGAAAGATCGGACTTTATTCTTTAGTACAATGCATCTAATGTTGTTTTTCATCTTGTCTCTATCAATATATTTAGCAGAATTAACAGATTTACGCACAAGTTTATAGTTAACATAACCTTCGGACAGTAAAAGCGGCTGAGTGTGTTTTACGTCCGACAGAGTCGCAGCCGAAAATTTTGTACCACATCCGTCTTCCAAATTTTGTATGACTCTGCCGGACCCCTCACCAAAACCCATATGGAAATTAGTTTCATTTGTGTCGCAAGTTTTGTAGTCTGTTTTGTCATATTCAGTGCTAATTTCTTCAGCTAATGTCAGCGTCCTTGGATCGGGCGATTTATCACCCATCTGATCCATGTCAGAAAATAACGTCTCGTCCGGTTCAGTCTCAGGTTGGTCTATTTTACAAATACCTCTTATAGGCCATGATTTTAATAGCTCATGCACATCTATGTGCTCTTTATGAAAAGGTCGTGAATAAGAAAATTTTACGGAGCTGCAGTAATCCAGAAGTCGCTTGAACTCCTTGCTGTACGCAGAGTCACCCATAGTTGTGATAGTAATTTTCGGATAGTCAATATTCTTTCCTTTCCTATATTTCTTCTCATACAATTTCACATCAGTCATCTCGGCCTTCCGCTTCAAGCTCTTTGTTTTATTACCTCTAAAAACATAATCAAAATGCAGGCCATTCGGATATTTCTTGGAATACGATACCATAGGAACATTGAGCTTAATGTCTATTTCTTCAATCTGACCTTGTGCACCAATTTGTTGGGTTATCAGTACATTAGGATTTTTATTACCATCCCCATAATTCATCATTAGGCTTGGAATAGGCTTCGATAATGAGCTCGGAATCTGGTCTCGATTTGAACATATATTCATTCGACCTGATGCATTAGCGATAACTGTTTCCGCCATATCGTCATCAAGAATTTCGTCGCTATGCATATCAACGATTTCTTCTATAAAGTAATTGTTGTCATCAACCAAAACAAATTGACAAACTTGGTTCTGATTAAAAGCATCTTCTTTTGAGTCTTCATTTAGGTTACGTTCATTGTTTACTTTTATTGCATTAAGTACTTCATTTTCTTTTGGGGCTGCGTCAGTTTCGGGTGCAAGAGAATTTTCTCTTGAATCAGAATCTATTACTTTAAGTACTGTGACGATTTCATCATCGTCACCAACAGAGGGCGACTCATCGATTATTTTTTCTTCAGTTGTTATTTCATTAGCTTCTGTGTCAATATTCAAAATTCGGTGATTGTTTTTCTCGCGAACACCTGTAGTGTCCGTTTTTTCTGGTGTTACATTAGGAGGGCATGGAGAACCATAAGAATGATCCATAACTGGCGTTCTCGGTCTCTGCTCATCAGTACCTTCGAAAATATTTCGTAGATACGAACGAATCTTTATTAAATTGTCTTCCCTGGCTTCTTGAGATTCTTCAATAGCTAAGGTGTCCCTTCTTTCTTCAATTTTTGTGTTGACATCTTTTGTGACCATACCTCCACAAATACTCTGCAGTTTGGATTCTATTTGCATATACGTGAAATCTTCATCTTCCAAATCAATTGATTCCGTTGCATGGGTCGGCCTACTAACTTTCTCTTCAATTTCGTCTTCGGTATACTCAAAAATGTTTCGCAGGTTTCTTTCAACTTCTTTTAATTTTGCATCGATACTGTCTGCAATATTTTCCACATTCGATTCTGTACTTTGTGTTGTGTTAACTGTGTCTTCACTTTGCACTATGAAATCTGTACGATTACTCACCAAAATCTTTGATTCTTGTGTTGGTGAATCATTCGTTTCTTCTTTTTCGGAGTCTTTTTCTTCACAGACATCCCCTGATGGCGATTGAAGTTGCTCGAGTATCATGTGTGTGTGTAAAGCACTTATCTCATTATTCTCTATTGTCACTTTCTCCGAAGTTTTGAATTCGTTTTCAGTCTCGACTCTTTTAGTAATGGTTTCAATTTCGTATAACTCAGAAGCTTGAATGTCTTGTGATTTTAGATCAGCAGTTTCAGAGTATTCTGCACCTCTTTCCTCTGGAGCAGCGTTTTCAACTTGTATCCCTTGCAATTGTATGACACTTTCTGTTGGTACTTCGTGTTGCACCAATTCTGTATCCGATTGTTTGCAAAGATCTTGAGTACCTATAACATGATTTACTAAACTCATATGACGTTCGTTTTTCATATCCGCTTCTGCGAAATTATCGATAGCATTGTTTGTATTTTCAGCTAACAAATCTGTTTCATTCATGATTGCATCTGGTTGTACCGATGCCGATTTAATTTCAGCCTCTTCAGATGTTAATATTGATCCATTATTTCCCGTCGCTTCTAGCTGAGTTTTAGAGTTATTTTCCAGTAAATATTTACCTGATTTAATATCTTCCCCGTCCTTTTCTTCGTCTGTTCCGGTATGTTTTTCGGCATCCAAATGAGTTTCGCTATGTGATTTAATATTGTGGTCACATGTAGAAATTATTTTACTAAACATGATGTCACATGTTTTAAAGACATCAGTGATCTCAGTGTCTTTACAGACTTCTTCATTGCTTTGAGAAATAACTTGCGTTGTGTTAGATTCAGAAAACAAATCGTGCGTATCTTCATTCGTCTTTTTATAATCTTCAACATCTTCATAAATATCTTTAGTTTCAGTAATAGTATTAGTCTCTTTCAGATTTGAATAACTATCGTTTAATTGAAATTGTTCCTTATGATTATCTATATAAAATTCAGTCTGTAGTTCATCATGCAATATAGAAGAACTGGCAGCATCTTCACTAAGACTTTCCGCGTAGGTAGTTGTAGAACCCAGTTCTATAATTTGTTCTTGTGATTCGTCCTGCATCTGGAGTTTTCATCAACTGTTTCCCGTATATCCAATTTATTTTCTGATGTTTCCATTGCCAGAAGACTGTAATTATCTGGCTTTTCAGTTTCGCAATCAATATTCACATTAGAAACAGGTTCAGTATCCTTGACATTGACCTCTTCATCTAGCATTTGGTTCTTAGAATTTACTAACGGGCTTGAAGTGTCACTATATTTAGACATTTTATTATTTGTCGTTATAATTTCTGAGACTTTCTTTTTAGGTTTGATGTCGAACTTTTATAATGTGATTTAGTTTCCTGATTGGCAGAAGTTATTCGATTTAGAGTTAAGTCATTTTGGAAGAGTTTTAATACCAAGGTCTTGAGGGGCATAACATTATCTCCATTCGCTGTAGTATTATAAGAACCAACTCGAACATCGTGACTATCTACTTTAGATTTTTCACTCAGTTGACTTATATTTTGGATCTTATGTAAATGGCTCTTTGGTTTAGTTAAAAACCACTCAGCGTCACATGTCGACCTCATATACTTCTCAATTTTTTCAGCTTTTTGAGTATGATGATCATATACAGCAGCAATGGTTTCATATGCTTCCATCACTGGTGAACTAATTTGGTTAGCGGTTTGTTGAGCATCAAGTAATTCATAATCGGTGAGAATAGACAAAGATTCACAACGCATCAGATTGGTTGAGCCTACTATCGTCTCTTCAGGTGTCCCATCATCGACAATAATGTCGTCAGCTTTTAATTCATTGGATGATTTTATTTCATCACATCGGACTAATTTAACAAAACATTCTTTTAGTAATTTCAGATTTTCATATTTTCTTACTAGATCGTCACATTTTGGTACCTTTACAAAACATTCTCGCGTTTTCGGGAGATGACTGGGCGAAGATTTGTTGCTATCTGAAAGCCCGCCTTCAAAAACTTGAGGCGAATCAAACAAAGAAAAGAATATGTCGTTTGTATGTGCAGAACTTTCAGAAGGTTCTTCTAGATTAGGTTCGTTTGGTGGCATAGAAGTGTCAGCCAAATCTATACCAAGTTCTTTAAATAATAGATTTCTAAACTCATTTATCTTTTCTTCGACTGGTTTTGCGTTATCATTCATTTCAGTTGATGTATCGTTCTCACGGGTAATGCTTATTGGTTCTCTTCGTTCTATAGACGGCATCAGACCTGTGATAGTTTCATGTTCGTCACTGGATGAATCATCGATCTCTATTACCTCAATAGGTTCTTTCAACACAGATTTAGATGCAATATTTATTTGATTTCTTGATTTAATATTTTGATTGCGTATAATCACACTAGGCCGCAAACTACGGTGCAGATCACGTCGTGACCTGAAATCAGAGGTAGATGCGCGCCGCAGGTCAATCTTGGAAACCGGTCTCATATCAGGAGCTAGTGTAGTTTGCAAGTCCGGTGTACGACCCTGTCTATCTTCAGCATTTGACACTAGTAGTTTTGGTATAGAAACAGATTGAGGTTCGGCCGTCAAAGTTGAACGTTCGTTAAGTGTTAATATAGGTAGCATTTCAGGTCTAGAAGCCAGCGGCGTTTGTGTTTTAGACTCATCTGCCGTGGCAACTGATGGCATTTCAGAATTTGAAGTTTGTTGCAGATCAAGCTTAGAAACCGGTGGAACTTTGAGTTGATCTTCAAATCTGAGCACAGACTGCATGTTAGTAACTGGCAGTATTTCTAATTTAGAGCCTGATTGCTTCTCTGGTATAGAAATTCTTGGCTCTTTGGGATTGGATATCAGTTGATCATGAAGTTTAGGATCTGTTGGCACTTTAGACTGAGAAACTAGCTGCTCCTCAAGATTTGACCCAGATTGCAGTCCGGGCTTGAAACTGTGTCCATCACATGTAGCCATTTGAGGTAGTTCAGGCATTGCCGCTGTCTGCTCTTCGGGCTTCGATACAAGGTCATCGGCCTTAGGAACTGGTAGCTCTACAGACTTCGACCCTAACCGTAATTCGAACCCGGATCCTAGTTGCACATCACGGACCACAGAAACTGATTGCATTTCAGGTTCGGATATTAGTACAGGGACAGGGTTGAGTACCAACTGTTTATCTGTCTTAGGTACTGATTTAGACGCAGTGTGCTTTTCTAGAGAATGCTTACCAGGTGGACATATTAACACATTAGAGAGAATTATTGGTCGACTTTTTGGTTTCGTAACTGGTGGCAAATCAGGTTCAGGTACCACTTCCACATCAGGTATCGTTACGGGTTCTGCTTCAGTTTGAACAATTGATTGTACTTCGGGCACGCTCATCGGTTGCACATCAATAGCAGCAAGTGAGGTATCAGCTTCAAATGCAGGTGGAATGATATCCAGTGTAGATTGAGACATAGGTGAAAAAATAATATCTTCATAAACAGATCCATCTAGAATAGGTGCTGTAGACGTATCCGTTTGTACGTTATCTTTCGTCAAATCATTCTGGCTGCTTGAACGACTAGATAAATCACATTTTGTTAATTTTACATAACACACTTTATCTAACACTTTTTGATGTTTTTCCAATAAGTCTTTATCTATATTTTTTATGTTGTATTTGCCATATTGTGTTTGAATACACTGGGTTTCTTCGTCGGAGTCACTAAGTAAATCGATTGTTTCCACCTCGCCAGCTGGCAATCCAGATGCTAAGCTATTTTCATTATTTGGTACTCTTTCAGATTGGATTACGTAAGACCTCCCTAGTTGTTTTATGTTTAAAGTATACCGCTTTCTTTGAGATAATATGTTGGTCAATAAAATCTTTTTTAGTGCATGGACCGTAAATAATGTTTTGATGTTTAGATTCGTTTGACCGTGGACGGTCGCCTTAAATACTTTACCACACGGTAGCTTAATCCGCACAATTTTTTTTAACGGATCGCCTGTATTTATATGAGATATATCTTCGACTATAATAGAATTCAAATAAGATAGTGGTATGTCATCGATTCGTCCACCGTCACTGTTAATTAAACCGTTGTTTTCGACAGGTTCGTCATCATCATCTTCGTCAATACATATTACTTCATCAACATTGTCGTCAAATACTTTTTGAGCATCAACTACATTATTGTCAACAGATATTTTGTTATTGACTTCTGCTTCAACTTTTCGAGTTTCAGTTTGAATTTCGATTGGAAGTTCAGAAAGTGAACTTGTGCAAGATTCATCTGTATTATACATTATTTCTTTACAAGCTAAACTTATGTGTTGTTTGTCAGTTGTATCTTTTATGCTATCTTCTAATTTTTTCACGTAACTTTCAATTTCGTCAACAACGTCAGGATCTGTTACTAATTGTTTAATGTTTGCATCAGCTTTCGTAGTGTCAGTTACTAAAGTGTCGGCGACCTCTTTGGCTAATGAAATTTCATCAACATTTTTTTCAGGAGTAACTGTAATATCCTTTTCCGTGCCATCAGCCTGAGGTCGTAACAGGAGGCTAAGTGAGTCCTCATTGTCTAGAATGCTTGGGCTCGTACAATTATTAACGACAGTGTCGCTTTCAACGCTTTCCAAAATCTCATCCACATTAGGAATTTCAACTAAGGATGGTACAGGCTGGTCTGGGGATATTACTTTAAGGATTTTAGATGTTACTATTTGATCCTCAAGATCCATCATCACTGTTTGTTTGTTTGGTATTTCTGCCTCCTGAATCAAATCGGGTTTATTGTCAATATTAAGTTTTAGCTTCGTATTTCTTTTAGGTTGGGCTTTAGTTGCTTTCTTCTTTACTTCCACTTTCTTTATAGTTTTATTAAGTGTCTTTTTAGGTGCTGGCTTCTTCGATGTTTTAGGCTTAGTGGCCTCAATAATTTTATTGACGGTAACCACAGGTTTTATTCTAGCTTTAGATTTCTTAGGTGCAGCCACCTTCTTGACTGTAATTGCATCTAAGCTGATTTCCTTGTTACTAGAAGATCGCAATACGATACGACGTGGTGTCTTATCTTTGTTTTCTTTACATTTTTTGTTAGCGTCGTGCTTAACAGGTTTCTCTACATTCAACACTTTAAGGTTCACCAGTGTTCCTAGTTTTATAGTTTGAATTGTATTGTCAATTTTAGTGCAAGCAGAAATATTCTTTTCGTTATTAATTTCTTGAGGTACAGCTGGTACTATTTTGATAGCGATAATTGGAGCATACGTTAACGGAATTGCTTGCTTATCGCTTCGGTGAATAATATTCCGATTTAGTATAGACATGCGTTTCTTTTGCAGTCTTTCTTGGTCTTTTAATACCTCATTGACCATGTCGCAATTCGCCTTTGATTGGCTTCTTGTCTTCTGTTCTGTTTTCTCGGCAACCTTCTGTTTTTCCTGCACCTCAGATAGGACCTTCCTTTCAGAAATATTCTTATTAGAATTAACATCAACTTTTTCTTTATCGTTTTTCGAAATAATGTCACCATTCACGTTATCACCTGAATTAGGTTTAGGTTCTGACTTATCGTTTTTAGCATCGTGTGCAGTCTTGTTTGGAACATTATTTATTACTTCTTCGCTTTCAGTGGTCGTTTGGTTACTTTCAGTTAATTTTGCTGTAGCATTTCCTATGATAACAGGATTTACTGTTGAAGCGAATTGTGTGGTCTGATAGATAGCCATATTTGACTGGTTATTAAATGCAACATATGTGTTTTGTGTTGGAGCAGCTGTGCGAATAGGATTTTGAATAGTGCAAGGTTGATACACAACGTCTGAACCGATAAGAACCATGTTTTTTAAGGTAGGTTGCCGCGGTACTCCAGCTGTAGATGTATTAGTCTGACTCTTTGCTCGTAACTGATCAATTTTAACATTAAGGCTTGGTTTATTTGTCTTCTTCGAAGAAGTATTAACACTTTTAGGTAGCTGTTGAACAGTTACTGGTGGATTTGTAACATCAACATTTTTAGTGACACATTTTGGGTCGATAAATCCTGGAGTATGCAGTTGCTTGGAAGGATCAAAGACAGTCTTTGGGATTTCGCATACTACCACTTTTGGATCGGTTTTCTTATGCACTGCGACATTATTAATCGCTGTTGAATTTGAGCGTCTTTCTTCTCGCACTACAGGAATGGAAACATTACTCATATTGAAAGACTTTTCTTTTAGGCCGTGCATGGGAGTTGAATAACTCTCTTCGTCTGATGATAATTCTCCGATTTCTTGTCGTAAATCATCGTCCATCAATTCCTCAAGGAGATCATAATCCGAGTTAGGTATACCCGAGATGAAAGGGTCGTCATGTTTGAAATATGTAGTAGTAAATGGTTTCTCATTATTTTTTAACGGTATTTTCTTATACACCTCTGTCTGGTCTTTTGAGGAATGCATTGATCTTTTTTCAGATTGAGTTTGACGTTTCGACATTTCGGGTTGTGTCGGCTTTATGTTCGAAGTGAATTCTGTAGTAGTGGTGTTTACCGGTTTCAGAAGACTCTTAACCGGGGCCTTTTTACTTTTACTGGTTTTGATTACAGTTTCAGAGTTTGACCGACTCAATGCGGGCGGGGGAGGGCTCGTTTTCGGGTCAACATTCATTACCGAATTCGTCGGAGCTTTGGTTATCACATTTATCATTTTAATTTTATTATCTCCAGTAGAGTTTGTCTTGACTATCCTTTGATTGCGCAGGCTTTCTGAAATTGTCTTTTTATAACTGTCTTTATTCAATGCCATGTCGAGAGCGTTTGGCCCTCTGCTTGGGGTCTTATGAGATAAAATGGCGTCCATCACCTTCTCCCAATCAGTTTCTTTACTATCACCAGGTTTAGCTGTATCAGGTTTGTGTTTGCTCTTGACCTCATTGTTACTAAAGAGTTCAATCTTATGCACCTTCGGGTCTACTGTTTTAGGAAAGTTATATTCAGTCTTCACCATATTTATAGGTTTTGTTTGTGGTTTAGGATCACAATTATTGAGGTTCGATGGCTTTATACTCGGACTAGGTTTAGTAACTTGTTTAATGCTGACATTGCTTATATTGATATTAGGAGTTTCTAAAATCTTGTTCTTTATGAGCGACTGACTAGAACTGGGATTAGGAAAGCTTGAAGGTGTGGGACATGTAATCGTCTGTGGGGGAGGAACTCTCTCCTTAACACATGGTCTTTGTTGATTAAGTTTGGATTGCTGACGCAAAAGAAGAACTAATTCCTCTTGATCTTTTTCTGTCAATGCATTTAGTGTTGGTTTATCCTGTGGAGATTCCAATTTATTATTTTTGTTATGAATCTCAGGTTTCAATGGCTTCGTACTTGACAGCATGTTCGCCATTACGGGATTTTGTTTCGAAATACTTTGTTTTGGTTTATCAATCTTCCTTTGTACACTCAGACTGTTGTCATGTTGCTGATATGATTGTCTATCGTATCGCTCATTTTTTATTGACAAATATTTCTCTTTTGCTTTTTTCTGTTCAATTACAATCCGGTCTATTTCAGCTTCATTCGGGGGATTTTGAAGCGTTTTACTCTGATATTCTATCAGGGCTTCGACGACGGGATTCACTCCGTTAATTTTTGAGTCTATTTTATTTTTGTGTATATAACTGAGGCGCGAAAACGTGTTTAAAAGGTTATCAGATTTCTTTTGAGTTTGTTTGGCACTTTGGGGAGACGATTTCTGTTCAGCTTTCGCTGCGGGCAGTACTGGAGTGACCCTGCTTAGTGGTTTAATTTCTTTTCTGCTAGAAGTAGATTTACTAATGTGTTCGCCCGCTCCTGCGTTAATAGACTCCTGAAGTTCTTTAAGGAATGCGTGAAATTTTTGAGTATTACATTTTTCTGGTTGTTGCTTATTTAAAATATTTGGACGTAACGCCTTTGTATCTGCCGTGGGTCTGTACAAATCTGGTGGTAATTTCTGTACACTTGGACTCGGGAAACGGCTTCCACTTGGCAGAGAATTGTTCAATTTTACAGTCTTGGGGGTGCAAGGCACGACAGGTCTTGCTATTCCAAAAGTTTTAGAACTCAGTAAGTTGTTAACTTCGTTCTTTAAATCTGTTAGTTGTGCCGACTGGGTCTGATTAATGAAGATTTTTGAAGTATCTTGGATTTGAGGTTTTGGAGAGACATGAGCTGGGGTTGATGACATTTGGACTAGCTTCGGAGAGACACGAGCAGGTGTGGGTGATAGTGGCACCGGCTTTGGAGGTTGAGGAGTTATCACTGGCGTATCAGTTCCTTTCTTATAAGTGTAAGTATGAACTACATTAGGTTGCAAGTTAATTTTTGGTTCCATGTCAGGAAAAGACTTCTGTCGCCTATAGTGTAGCAGTTTACTTAAACTTTCCTTCACAGACATGTTGCTTGGGCTGAAAGTAGAGGTCAAATTGCTTGGAGAACTTGTCCTAGACCTCGGTTTTTCCTGTACTTTGGGCATTGCAATCTCATTTGTTGGTACATTCTGATTGATTCCAACTGGTGGTGGATTTGTTACATTTGCAATTTGTGGTTCAGTTTTCTTGACTTGATTCTTATCTGGACTCTTTTCTGGTGATTTTAATTCGTCCATAGAAAATAGGCCATCAAATAGGACATCAGGTTCATTGGTTTCTGAGATACCAGAGTTGAGTGAGAGTTTAGCTTGGCTGTCATAGTCACTGTCGCTGACTGAGGGTATTTTAGCAGGCCTCACAATCTCTGGTCTCTGGTTTGTAATCTTAGAAACTTTCATTCCAATCAAATTTGACAAAGAAGAGGGTTTCGCTTGAGGCGCCGGAGCCTTAGCCGCCTTTTCTTTCTTCTTTCTCTCCCGCTTTTCTTTCTTTTTAGGTTCTTTCTTTACCTCTGTACTTTGGTTTACTTCTGGTTCAGTTACCTCTAAAGGATCTTTGGGTTTCGCTTTAGGTTTTGTTCGTTTACGCTCTTTACTTCTTTCTTTGCTGTGGGGTCGTTCTTTCTTCTTTTCTATTCTTTTGGCTTCTGCGACGAGACTTAGAGGGTCTGAATCGTCCTCTGAGGAGAGGGGTTTCTTGGTCTTTCTCGGTATTTTCTTGGTTCGCACGGGGCTATCCTCAATGTCAGTAGACACTGCACTCTGTGTTCTTTCTGAGTCCTCAGCATCTTGCCATATTTCTTCAGGATCCTGGTATTGTTCTACGAGATGCTCGTAGCCTTTTGACAAAATTTTAATATGTTTTATTTATAGATTTTGTTATTGAAGTTAAAAGTTGATTAAAAACTAATATGCATTTTAAAATTAAGACAGATTGAGACAATAACCGCAATGCTAATCAGTCTAATTAAAAAATATTAAGAATTCAACTTTAGTGTAACAAATTGTATTATTCCTAGGGGCTCAGTATCTTTGGACGCTATCTCACTTGACGGTAAGCGTCCACAATTACTAGGACATTCTAGAAAATAGAATTTTAACAATAAATTATATTGTCCTTACCTTTCTCAATCCCGTAGTACATGTCAGTGTCGTCATCCTCCTCCTCGGGTAGATGTTGGAACTGGCTCGGGTCCAGGTTCAAATACTTCAACTCCGTGGTCAGCGCACAGGTACCGAACTTCGTACGCTCCATGTACGCTCGACAGTTATCTAATAATTTATCCCTGAACATTACAATATTGGATATAGAAAGTTATTTTATTTTTATTTTATTTTATTGACATCGGAAAACATACAGTATTAACAGCTAACAAAAACACAATTTACGCAACTAATAACCAATTACATGTTTTCGCATTTAGTTATCTATGAAGAACACGCTTGAAAGAGAAAAAATGAATAAAGAGGCAATTAGGAATTATGGCACTAATTATCCTACTAATCCTACTAATATTATAAATGTTTTTTTCATGTTTGATTGTCTGTTACTCTTTCAAGTCAATACGGCTGACGGGATTGGAATGAAATTTGGAACAGGTGTAAAGTGAAACAAGTGAATTTATTTCTGTAAATAGGCTACAAGGCAGCACTTTTACACGTCAATTTTATCAAGCGAACGATGAGGTCGACATTTCCTAACTGACTACTCTGAGAAGAAATGCCGAAACAAACTCTGTAAATTAAGGTCTAGCTAGAATAACACAAATCACACAAGTGGAACCACTGACAGAAAATAAATAGTAATCAATATTCCGATAGAGTCCAGTGATGGACTGTAAGCCTAAGATTTGCTTACTGACATGACAAGCAAGTTAGAAATTGCAGTAGAAAGGATTCAGACTTATCAGAAAGTGATGATGCGCGCTGATAATAAAATATTATTAACAATCATGAGCTTTATTACACCAACACATACCTGTCCATATCCCATGAAAGGGTCTTCAGTCTAGGTCCAGACAACAATACTGCAATATCAGTGCAGAGCTCCGGGCTGATCCCTAGGGCTTCGGCCTCACTGAATATCGCAGTAGACAACACATTGGCCTGATTCTTCGTATGTTTAAGATTCAAAGTCTCTGATGTCTTCACAAAATTTGTCTGCGAACGGGAATCGCTCGCCCAACTACCGAATTCAGAAGTTGGTTCCTCTTTCGTTTCGTGAACATCCTGGAATTAGGGATATATGTTTTAATATTAAGTATTAGTAATATAGATATTGTTTTGATAGCATTGTAGTATTTGGTTTATAATGGACTTCTAGAAGTGGCTTTTTATAGGGTAATAGGGGCATTTGTAATAAAAACCTCACAGAAAACTGGTGTGCAAAATACTTGTAATATGTTTTAGTGTGAGTAATGTTATCAGAAACCCAAACCTTTCCTAGTTCCCCAATACTCAAACATTAATCCCCAAAAGGCCGGTATCATACTTGCAGATCGCTCTAGTGTTGCGGGTGTCCATGGCGGTGCCGATTGCCGAATATACCATAACAAAAAGATGGACGTACCCTGGCCGGCGGCGGCGGCGGCGTGGCCTTGCTGACGCGTTCGTACAGATGCGGCGAGGGATGCACGGAGAAGGCAGTGAGCGCGCACTCGGCCCGCAGGCGCGCGCTGGGAGCCAGCAGCGCGCCCAGCTGGGTGAACCAACCCGCCAGTGTCTGCTCCGCACCGCGGGCTTCAGCCTCCTGCAGCAACGAACATGTTTAACATAAAAGGTTAATGTTATAATCATAAATATTTAATAAAATAAGCTTTATAAGCCTGTAATTAGGTATCAACAAAAACTATTTAAAAATTACAAGCCCAAACTAGCACACAGGACTCATTTTACAGCATATACAGCACTTTGTAAAGTAACATAACATAACATCACGCCTTTTATCCCCGAAGAGGTAGGGAGAGGTGCACATTATGCCACTGTACAATGTAACACCCACTTTTCACTATTTAGGTTACGAGTCCCATGTAATAGGGGGTGAGCCTATTGCCATATATCGGGCACAATTTCAGACTCCGTGCTACTACTGAGATTATTTAAAAACCCTGTAATACTTTGCCCGACCCAGGAATCGAACCCGAGACCCTTTGCCCGACTGTCGCACTTGCGACCACTCGGCCAACGAGGCTCAGTTACAGTTTTTAAAGTAAATTACAACAAAGTCAGTATCAAAGTATAATTATAAATTAAACATACCTTTTCAGTCTTAAGTTTGAGCCTCTCAAGCTCGTTCATGCCAGCAGTGATTGCTCGCACGTACAATTCACACACAAATGGCTTCATGTCCGGGGTGCTCTGTAAATTGAGAATTTACTATTAGACATGCTGAGGATCTTGTAAACTCGATAAACAAGCTACAATGACATGTATTATAGGGCCAAAACGAAAAAAAGTATTAATCTGACTCATCGATATTTTTGTGTATAAGACAAGGCGAATCTGTCTCTTTGTTCCCGATCCCGAAATCTCCAAACTGTAAAAGGCCCGCAACGCATTTGTTTTCTTCTGGTGTTACGAGTGTCATTATTGGCTGTCTTATGCCGTAAAAAAGGCTATTGGCTCCTTTTCGCACTTAACGGGGGCTATATTTTGTTGACTAGATGTCGTATAGTGTACCTGTGCGTCCACGGCGGCGGCGAGTGTATGCAGATGGCGGGCGGTGGCGGCGGGCGCGGCCAGCGCGCGCGCGGCGGCCGGCAGCCCGCGGCCCAGCGCGCGCACCAGGGACCGCGCGCAGCAGTACAGCGCGGTGCGCGCCACGCCGCCGCATACTGACACCACCATGCAACGGGTTATTATCACCTGGAAATCAAATACTAAGTTAATATCCACTCCTTACAAAGTACACTTCCTAACAGAGACCTTTAAGCAATGTAAATGATTTTTTAATGTCATCTGGAATATGTGTGGAGTGGGCCCACTGTAAAACATTTCACTGTAGCACCGATTATAACCACCCCGTTCACCACAATCATGGTGAACACACAAACATTAAAAGTTTTTTTTTAATCAACCGATTAAAATCGTTATTAAACTAGATCCAGATTTGCAGACACAAATATATTTTCATTCATACAGTTTTGTAATATTTACTACTTATAACATTTGCCCTAAACACTCATTTTTCCCGAACCAATACAAGAATGCATTGAATCAAACAATCTGTTGCATCGGTCTGAAATAGAATTTTAAAGTGAAGTTATCGATCGCATTGACCACGCGGGCATCGAACATGCACTGCTGAATTAATTACGAGGCCCGATAGCCTTTGAAACGAGAATAGGACGATTGTCATTAAAACTTAATTCAGCCATTAGACTAGCTTTGGTAGGTAATCTATAACTTCACACTTTGTCATATTAAGCTACTGTAGGGATATGAGATTGCATAAGTCATATTTGGGAATAACAACTTTACCCAAACTGTAATGGAAGTTTTAATAAACAAAGCCTTTAAACAAGATCAACAGTCTATAAGTGGCCACTGCTGACCAAACGCTTCTTCTCACACGGAGAAGGCTTGAGCATTAACCGCCATGCTTGCACAATGCGGGTTGGCAATTATAAACTTATAATTAGAAAATTATAAGCTTGGGTTTTCTCACGATGTTTTCCTTCACCGTTGTCAGTGGTGTCTAAATAATCTTAGAAAGTACATACAACTCGGAAAAAGTCACATTGGGACTTGTTGGTAGGTCTCGAACCTGCATGAGAAGCGGGCGTCTGAATCCTATGAGCCATCACGACATAATATGGCCACCAAAATTAACTGGCTAGGTACTCAATTTTAAATTGTACTTAAATATCGTGCCATCTCTGTCATTATACAAAGAATTTGTAATGACAGAACTATACTTATGCGCGACTTAAGATTGAGTAGGGTCTCAGAATTGGGTGGTTTCCTGGGTCAAAAATAAATTATTTCGATTTTTCAGTCCAATTAAATATTGAAAAATAGTTACACTTTTATTCATTGATTTGCCGATATACTTAATTTTCGATTTATTCTAGCATTTTTTTAGATACAAGTGTGCTATTTGACGCGAAAATATGATGACGTCATAAGATGGTATTTCGTACTAAATTCATAGAACAGTATCGTTTTTGACGTTCCAATTCGCAATCTATGGAAAAACACCCTTTAGGTTTAATAGAATTTATTGTGTAAATACAGTGATAAAAACGTATAAAAGTCAGTGGAAACTCAATAAATACCTGTGCAATCAATGTCGCAACATCTTTGGCGTTCTTCCATAATTTCTTCTCTCGGGGCGATGTCTCGAGCCGACTTTGCAGCCTCTCCACCAGCTGGTAGCCATTGCGGAGAGGCGTTTGTTTGGCCTATAACAATTAAGTTACATTAATAACTGACTTTCATTGTAACTATTTATTTCTTGGTCATAGAAAAGGTAGAATTGGTGTGAAAGATTTTTTTTTAATTTCTACTAGTAGAACTGATTGGCTGATCATTCAGGTAGTAATAGATAACAATTTGCATGAAATCATGAAAAGTTGGTATCAATTTACAAAAAATAAATAAATGACAAGATAAGGTATTAAATGAAGGTCTTGTCTAATCCATAGAAAGCAGTTACCGTAGCCAATTAGTACCTAATACCATGGCCTCACAGAACACCGATGTGAAACAACGCTTACGTTATGTTTTGTCGTGTGAGTGAGGTTACTGGAGGCCCAATTAAACCACCCCAATCTCTGAATGCCCAACTATCCTAATCTCCAAAAGGCTTGTAACGCACTTGTCAACGCTTCTGGTGTTCCAAATGTCCATGAGCGACGCCGATTGCTTACTATCAGGTGAACCGTCTGCTAGTTTACCGGTTTATCCCAAAAAAAACATGTCTCCAACACTACAAGTGTCACTCCAGCTTTAGGTACCGATCCTATATTCTTAAACTTCTTTTGATCCATTTCTTACTAAGTTTTTCATAAACTAAGTATTCTGTACTCACCAGTTCGATACAATGCGATCGTTTGTCTCCTTTATAGAGGAGTACAAACTCCATATCAACAAGCAGTTCCAACACATCCACTGTGAACCCCGCCTCCGCCTTCAGGATATCCTCGAACGTCTTCTTTGAGTCCGACTTATCTGATGGATAAAAAAAAATACAAAGTTTAAAAAATTAAAAGAATAAAACGATTAGTCGGTAGGAAGTCAGTATTTTCCGTCAAATTAGGCCATTGGGAAGTTTATAAATATTATTTTTGTTCTCAAATGCTCCTTTCCTTTATTTCCTCTCACAGTGGTGTATTATTCAAGTGGCCTAATTCCAACAGTAACACAAACTGCTGATGTTGATGTTTCATTTTTGCACTCACCCTTAAGATCGGCGATGCCATCAGCTTCAGTGTCGGAGGTGGGTGGAGCGCAGGCGCGGACCCGGTCGAGGACGGCGGAGCACAGCGCCAGCGCCAAGTCGTCGCACTTGGACGCCGCCAGCTGACGCAACCGCGTCACGAACATCACGCCGCGCTCCTCCTTCAGCCATGCTAGTACTGGAACAATACGTATAATGTTATGATATGGTCAGTTTCAGGAATGTGGGAGCTGGGTTGCATATGGATTACATGGCTGACTGTCTCATGTCAAAACCTGAAACCGATGCCCAATAAAAAATAGCATTAAGAGAATTTTAGTTCTCAAATTTGTAACGCTGTTACAAATTTCGACGAATACAAAAAATCCCACATGATTCCTACTGAAGCAAAAACTTATGGACAAATTATAGTCAATCTACTTAGGTTAGGTATATCTCTTCTACTACAATCTTACCTTCCTCATTCGATGGTGGTTCTCCCCTGGGATCCAGGAGCACCCTAAGGACAGGGTGCCCCCAGGGGTTGCTGAGGATCTGTTTAAAAAACTCCGCTCTCGCCAACAGCTGTACTTCCCAGGCTGGTAGAACTGCATCCTTGCTCGTTCGACCCCCACACTCCTGGATAAACGCGTTGATGGCATCCTCAAGCCTTTTATGTTGATCCTTGATTTTTGGGGACTGCCATTCTGTCTGTTGGTAGAAATATTTTATGAATGATAGGTTTTCTACTTAATTAAAAAACTATACTATAATTACAAATTAAGACTTTGAAATGAATCACTGATACTCAAAGATTTAAATGCATATTTATGTTATTAATTCCCTATAACTTTTTATAAGGCAGAACATAATTATGTTACAATGACATCTGTATTTCAACTCCTAAACTGTCTAAATGTAAATACTAAAACCTCAATACTAATGTTATTTCTTCCACATTCATCAATTTGTGTATTTCCTCAGTTTCCAACATTTCAGTAATGATCGTTATAGTTATTCATCACATCTGTTGAAAACATTTATTGTGAAACAAGTGAATTTATTTCTGCAAATAGGCTACAAGGCAGGACTTTTACACGTCAATTTTATCAAGCGAACGATGAGGTCGATATTTATTTATCATTTCATATACACCATGCATCAGACAATATTATAAAGGACGTAACAAGCATGAGATACATAGGTTATTAGTCTTAAACTTTGTTACAAACAAAATAAATCACATTTTTGACAGTAATTTACCTGCAGCACAGTCTTAGCAGTGTGCCTCTGCAGCCAGGTCAGCAAGTGTGGGTGTGTGGTGGAAGCCGAGTGCTGACAGAGACTGTGAATGCGTCGCCACGCTTCGCACAAGTGTTGCGTACGTTCGCGAAGCGCACAGTCGCTGTTCAGACCGGCTTCGAGCGCCTGATAGACAAAAAAATTGGTTTAGAAACTAAGGAATATTAATTAAGTTCATTTTTTAGACTGTTATACAATAACTCTATGTAAAGGTTGTTTAAACATTTTACTATCAATGATGTTTGACCTATTACAACATCACCACAAAACACCTTAATATCTTATTAAAGTTATAATTTCTGTAAAACATCAAGTAAAATAAAGCTGACTGCCTCTGGCTGCGTGGTTGCAAGTGTGACTGCCGGGCAAGGGGTCTCGGGTTCGATTCCCGGGTCGGGCAAAAATTACTGGGTTTTTAAAAAATTGACAGTAGTAGCACGGAATCTGTGCCCGATATATGGCAATAGCCTCACCCCCTATTACATGGGACTCATAACATAGTGAAAAGTGGGTGTTACATTGTACAGTGGCATAATGTGCACCTCTGCCTACCCCTTCGGGGATAAAAGGCGTGATGTTATGTTTTGTGTAGAATAAAGCTTGCTTTGCTTGTGTATTCATACAATTCACCCAACATACCAACAATAATAGTAAACAGTTTGTCAAAGATATTCTCTTATCTTTCTACATTACATAAGCATAATTACTTCATCACATTATCACGAATTTATAATTAACTTCAAAGGACCAAGAAGTGTTACTTAAACTTAGATATCAGTATAATTGCTTTGTAAGTTGTTAACAAGCTCTTAAGATAACATTTCAACGTGTCAGGGAAGTCATTTGATAACACAGTACAATCATATTTAGACAATAAATCGGTTCATTGAAGAAAAAATATAATATCAATACTAATAACTTTATTCACCAAATAAAAGAAGCTGTGTAAATTTTAAAACATCTGAGCCAGTAACAGATTTCATATATGTATACAGTTATTGTGTCCTTGCTGTAGCTTCTGTTGCTGAACTAGTTCAGGTATATGACCTGTATTTCAGCAATCACTGTCTCATTGGCCGAGTGGTCGCAAGTGCGTGGGGGTCTCGGGTTCAATTCCCGGGTCGGGCAAAGTATTACTGGGTTTGTAAAAACCTCAGTAGTAGCACGGAGTCTAGAAATGTTCCCGGTATATGGCAATAGGCTCACCCCCTATTACATGGGACTCATAACATAAATAGTGAAAAGTGGGTGTTACATTGTATAGCGGCATTAAGTGCCGTAATGTGCACCTCTGCCTACCCCTTCGGGGATAAAAGGCGTGATGTTATGTTTCAGCAATCAGTGCCTGTAATAAATCAATACAAAAGACGAGCTTTTATTTATAATAATTGAGGGTTTGTTGGTGATTCATTGACTGCTATCGCATTTTCGGTGTTTTATCACCAAATGAGATTTGTAATTTCAATCTCAAGTAATGTGTTTTAGTCAGTAAATATCGGTAAAGACCAGACCATAACTAAGTTAACAGTCAGATATTGTGACATGATCATGGTAATATTCATACCATAACATCATGAAGCATAGCATAGCGTCATGTCTTTAATCCTGAAAGAGTCAGGCCGCTGCCTGTACTTTTTGCACATAAGAGTATGCTGTAATAATAATAATAACACATAATTTTTACCCGATTACGACGAAGCCAAAAGGATATCACAAGTTAAGTTCCGAGACCCGCGCCGCTTAACTAATGGAATAAACTCAATTTGTAATTCGCATCAAATTGACAATCAAATTCAACAAATAACTTTTAATCTCAAGCATTTTTACTGATTGTATTTTGATAAATAATAATATTAGATTAGATTTTATTGATGGAAACTAATCTTTCGCCCAAACAATGAAGTTTTTATGTGTTTTCAAATTTTTCATAGATCAAAGTGATCAGTCATCAATCACTGCAGCCATTACACTTTATACTACACACATATGTGAAAGTTTCTTTAACATAATATAACATCACGCATTTTATCCCCGAACGGGTAGGCAGAGGTGCACATTACGGCAATAAGGCCACAGTACAATGTAACACCCACTTTTCACTAGATTCCGTGCTACTACTGAGAATTCAAAAAAAAACCAAGTAATACTTTGCCCGACCCTTGAATCGAGCCCGAAACCCCCTTGCCCAGTAGCCGCACTTGCGACCACTCTGCCAACGAGGCAGTCTTTGTTTGTCTCAAAAAGTTTCTTTGTATGGATGTTTGTCCGTCAACCACGCTGAAACTACTGAACGGATTTTGATAAAAATTGGGTTTAATTCCGATTAAATCTTCCCATGGGATAAAAGAAGAATACAAAATCGCGAGTAAAAGCTAGTTTCATAATATTATTATGTCGTGATAAATAGGAAAACATTCATTGAATTTTTTATTGGTATATCTAAAAAACTAAGCAGCGACGAATGTCCGACTCGAAAACCACTTTAATCGCGAATAGCAAACTGAACATTCAACATCACTAAGAGCGCATGACAGTCTACTAGTAGAGTATGAGTCCTTTACATGACCACACATGGTTTGCATATGCACCACGCTTCACAGACGTGTTGGAGATCGGTATATCGTTCCTTGTGTCGGATCTGACGAAGTGGCGACACCTACAGAAAGAGAAGAGTTTGTGACAAATATAATCTACTTTACCGTTGCCACACATCATAAAACGAAGTAAAGATTATATAAATAGGATAACCGCAATAATGCTATGCCCGACCTGTGGGCTTACTCTTGAATCCAATTCCGATCGATCGACATTGACATTGTGATATTTCGTACTCTTGAGTTGCAACACTAGCGCCCATTGCATCCGTATTGCGTGGATATTTAATGAACTAATTAGTATTGAGTTTGGCTTTATATTCCGTACTCTGAATGCTACTTTAAGAGCTACGACAGGGGTTGTATAGTTTTGACATTGAATAATTATTGAGATTTTATTGGATTGAAATTGCATTGACATTGAGATTGATTTCAAGAGTAAGCACCCTGGAAAGCAAAATTCGTATAACAGTTGAATTTTGCAAAGTTGCATTGAAACTACCTAACTAAATAGTGCTAATCGACTAATGGACAAATAAATTAACGACTGTCTGCAACAATCGAAACAAATCAAATATTTAAATGGATACCACAAACAATGCAACCAAAACCAAATGACAATTAGCATAATTTTAATTTAGCATTGTATTGTCAATCTCCAGTTCAATAAAACAACACCTTTCTATTAATTTTATTTTGTTTTCGAATATGATGTGCTTTTGAATCGAGTAGTTTAATTACACCCGTATATCCCCAAGCGGTATTCGGAGTCGCGAAGAACCTAACGGGTTACCGGGGCTCCGGCTCGACGTGCAGAAGAAGGAACGTGGTGGTTTTTAGTCAATAAGAGTCTAACACTCCCTCCCGCCTCACCCAGGCGGGAGCAGTGATTCGATGATTTTCCTCCCTTAAAAAAATGTCCGCGTGTGACCGCTTTCCACTAACTACATTATAGACATTATTTCCAATGTTTTTTTTTTAAGGGGGAAAATCATCGAATGACTGCTCCCGCCTGGGTGAGGCGGAAGGGAGTGTCAGACTCTTACTGACTAAAAACCACCCCGTTCCTTCTCCTGCACGTCGAGCCGGAGCCCCGGTTACCCGTTAGGTTCTCCGCGACATTTCCAATGTTTAAAGACTACGTTTGTAGAAACAAATTTACAATATTCAACGGGTTAAGGAGTGAAATAGGCTACTTTTCCATCCGATATGCCAACAGAATCGAGACGTACTCGAAGGAAACTTCGTGCAGGTGTAGTAGGTTAATGTTACCTAAATATAAAGCTGAAGCTAAAGATATGTTTGGTTTAAATGTACTAATTTCTGGAACTACGAACTTTTGAGTACTTGTCAATTTATCGAGAAAGATTATAGCAGACGAGCAGCGAGTGCAACAACGCAACAGCAAAACTCAGTTACTTAGGTAATTCATTAATTACATGAACATATTGGTTCTACTTTCAAATTCTTAGTACTGAGTTTCGATTGAATATTGCTACCAATATTTTAAATTACTTAAACGTCGACTAATTCTTTTCTTAACAAATTACATCATTTAAATTCTTATTACATACCTATTTGCTACTATATTTTATTTATTATTATAAAACAGTTACAGATAAAACAATAAAGGCACAGATAAGTAAGATCCTAAGTGTATGGAATCTGAATGAGTCATCTATTCGTATAAGTTATAAGAATGTGTATGGCTTCCAACTTGATCCTATAGTTCATGTTACTTTCAATTGTTTATTTTTATAGTGTCAATAATGTTTTAAAGAGTTACTGGACGCAGGTTGGTTCTAAACAGCTAAAGAAGAAGCTCTACCAAGCTACAGATTAGGGGAAGTGTATATTCAGCTGTCAACATATTCTGACTATAATTATGAAAGACTAAAAAAATGTCAGAAATCTTGGGCTTATAATTTGTAATTATAAGTTTTAGAGCGGCAATCGGCATTGAGAAAGCGTGGCAATTAATGCTTCAACCTTCTCTGTCTTCGAAAAGACATTTATTCAGCAGTGGCCACTTATAGGCTGTTGATGTGTGATATGATTATAAAGGGTAAAGGAATTGATTATTTATATGCACTGAAAAGTAAAAACTAAACTAAAACTAGTAGAAATTAGAAAAAACCTGTAACTAATGAAGTTCACATTTTAAGAAGTCCCAACAAAAAGCATACTCAAGATAAATCCTTATAAAACGCGGGCTACGCAGCAAACGGAAATCTTGTCACAAATCACTTAGTTTTGTTTTGTTGTGATACGAAAAAAAAAATCATTTTACTCATTGTTAAACACTAAACACAATTAAGTTAACTTTTATGTACCTACACACTAAAATCACATTAAAAGACTGATGACTGTTGATGAAGCTAAAGAGGTGTTCCATAATCTCTGCCTACCCCCATGGGAGACAGGCCAGAGGTTATGTATTGTATTAAAATCACAATAATATGAAACAATAAACTAGTATATTCAGTTTTAAATACCTACTGTATTACAGTCAGGACGACATATTTTTTTAACCACAAAAATAGGTCATGTGATATTGCATACCATATGTGTAAAATATGTAAACATAGCGTTCTATTTTTGTTTTGAAAAACCAAATAAATACGAGTACAATGATTGTGTAAGAACACCAGTAGATAATTCATAATATACATGCTGTTGACAATAAAACAAACAATAGTATTCTATAGTTTCCACTGAATTTCACAAGTCATTAAATATGTGTAAATATAAACAGAAACACTATACTAAACACGCTACTCTTTTACATCAAGAAACAGTAATAAATTGCTCAAAACACTTCCACATTACATCACGCCTTTTATCCCTGAAGGGATAGGCAGAGATGCACCTCTAATAAGTACCGTAATGCGCACATTACGGTACTTAATGCCACTGTACAATGTAACACCTACTTGTCACTATTTATGTTGAGTCATGAGTCCTATTTCAGAGAAAGTGTTATCAAAGCACCAAAAGGTATTTTGTGCCTTTATAGACCTAGAAAAGGCTTATGACAGAGTGGTGAGGGATGAATTGTGGTCAACTCTGTCCATGTATGGGGTGGATAGCCACCTGATTCGGGCACTTAGATCCTTATATAAGGACTCGAGTGCCTGTGTCAGAATAAATGGGGACTACACGGAGTGGTTTGACATTAATCGCGGTGTTAGGCAAGGCTGTGTAGCATCTCCTTGGCTGTTCAACCTATTTATGGACAGTTGTTTGAACGACCTGAAAGTAGGAGAGCCTGGATTAAGGATGAATGACACAGTGATTAAAACATTGTTGTATGCCGACGACCAGGTGCTTGTTGCCTCGTCGGCCCAAGAATTACAACAAATGGTCACTGCTATGAGTGATGCATTTGAAAGGAAAGGTATGAAAATAAATGTGAACAAGACGAAAGTGTTGGTGATAGAAAGAAATGAGGTGATAACAGAATGTCAGGTAATGATAGGTGATGAAAAATTGGAACAAGTGAATGAATTTGTGTATCTGGGATCACTATTTACGAGAGATGGAAAGTGTGACGGGGATATTGAAAGGAGAGTGAAAGCGGGAAATAGTGTTAATGGTGCTTTACACTCTGTAATGTCGAGTAAAATAATATCCAGCAAAGCTCGACTTGCTGTAATGCAGTGTGTATTGACACCAACGCTTATGTATGGTAGTGAATCATGGGTGTGGCAGAAGAAGCATGAAAGCAGGATTAATGCGGTGGAAATGAGAGCCCTGAGAAGTATGTGTGGACTAAAATTGAGTGATCGAGTGAAAAATAGTGTTATTAGAGAGAGGTGTGGATTGAAAGACGATGTAGTGACAAGGATTGAAAAGGGAATGTTACGCTGGTTTGGACATGTAGAAAGGATGGATGAAAGTAGAGTAACGAAAGAAGTATACAGAGCGGATATGAATGGAGCCGTCGGTAGAGGGCGCCCTAGACGGACATATAGTGACCAGATTGGCGATATATTAAAGAAGGGCCAAATTAAAAGTACCCTTAACCGACGAGCATGCATGAAAAGATTGATGACTGTTAATGAAGCGAAAGAGGTGTGTAAGAATCGTAGTAATTGGCGTTCCTTAGTCTCTGCCTACCCCCATGGGAGACAGGCGTGAAGTTATGTATGTATGTATGTCATGAGTCCTATGTAATAGAGGGCACAATTCCAGACAGAATAAAAAAATACCAGTAATAGTTTGCCCAACCCGGGAATCGAACACGAGACCCCTTGCCCGGCAGTCGCACTTGCGACCACTTGGCCAATGAGGTAGTCATTCTTCAAAACACTTTTATAATTATTTATACTTAACTAATTAATATAATCTTATCTTATTTAACTAAAAGCATACATAAACTCCATTAGGAACTGAACTATTACATTGAGAATATAAACACAAGATCTCAACAGTAACCTAAGCTTCAGTATCAAAGTTCAGATAGTTCAACCCAAGTTCAATGACCTGTCCTTTCCCTTTCATACAACAAAATAGTGTTTGGAGAAAATCCATCGGACTGTGAAATTCTGTAAAGAAATCGTAACACTAATGGAACTTGTTTTATGTATGAAATGTTTTATTAGATATATATATTCTTTTTTGTATATGGACTGTGTATTTTTTTGCAAATTTTGCGCCACTTTTGTCGTACGTTTGTGTATGTGTTTCGTAATATGTGACACTAATCTATGTTACTTACGATAGTTATAATTTATGAGGCAGTGATTATAAACTTAAATATTTATGTCTTGTATGATTTTAAGGGTCAAAAATTGTTATTGATTCAGTATAGTCACTTATGTGTACTCAGTACTCTAAACTAGCTAAAAATCACTACATAGTATAAAACAAAGTAGCTATCCGCCGTCTGTCTATCCCTATGTATGCTTAGATCTTTAAAAATACGCAACAGATTTTGATACGTTTTTTTTTAGTAGATAGTGTTTTTTAAGGAAGGTTTATATGTATAAGCATGCATATCGCACTCGTACGAAGCAGGGGCGGGTCGCTAGTGTGTAATACTAAAAATAGGCTAAAATTATAAGATTGATTGTAAGAAATGTTAATATCACATATTAATGTGATGTCTGTTTAATTTCCACACATGTGTAAACTATGTCAGATATCAATAATTAACTAACTAGCTGTTGCCTGTGACTTCATCTGCATAGAATATGGTTCCTGTTTTATCCCACCATTTAATCAGGATAAAAAGTATCCTATCATCTAAGTCAGCTCAAACCCTGCCTGTATACAATATTTCATCAAAATTGATTCAGTAGTTTCAGCATAATTGACGGACAAAGATCCAAACACAGAAACATTCACAATTAAATATAAATGTGATATTTAATGACAAACTTATTTGAACTATAAACTTTAATGTGTAATTAAAGTTTATGATCAAATCAGAATTGTTGTACAGTAAAATTCAAATTCTTTAAACACTTTAGTTTTTCATAAATGAAGAAAAACAAACCACAGTAACTCGACAACTTTTATTGAGTGCTAACGCTATTTATTATTATCATAACTTAGCTATGACTCACAAGAATCTGCTTACAAAAACATTAAGTAACACTGCTATCATTATCACCCAACTGATAAGGAATTTGGCTTACATCCATTGATATTTGTTTTGCCAATTTATAGAAAATAAACTTCAGACTGTATCTTACTGTTATTATGGTTGTTTTTGGTATAACACCGGAGCAGTATGAATTAGTGTAATTTTGTGATTGTCGGGATTCTTACCAAAGATTATGGTTTGGGACAATGATGTATCGGAATATAAGAAGGTCAGCAGTGACATTTTTTTATATTATACTAGCGGTCAGCAACATCATTTTTTCTAAAATAAAAGTAGCCTGTGCTACTTCATAGTACATCAGCTACCTGCTAATTAAAATCCCGTCAAAATCGGTTCAACCATTCCAGAGATTAGCCAGTACAAATAGACGAAAATTGGAAAAATGTATTATTTTGCTATGTTTCATATGTATATTCATATGTATGTAGTAAAAAGCAGTTATTTCAATATTACAAATACTTCAATTTTATTTATTAATGCATAGGTCGGGCACAGCTAAACCGATACATTGTCTTATTTCTTACATGAGTTTAACCTATTTCCGAGGGATATTAACTCGGACTAATATTTAAGTTAATAGAAATGTATAGTATGCTAAATACTATTTAAATTTTCTTTAACTGCTAAAACTATTGTTGCTATGTAAATTTCAATGATTTAAATATGTTTGCAATTCTTAACGATCTCTTATTGACGACTTCACACAAATAAAATTTTATTTGTATGGACTAACATGTGCACTATAAGTAAATAGTTATTTTTGTACTGAATTCTTATTTTGTTAGATTTTATGTGATCTTATGATGAAGGCGAGTGGAATAAATGACAAACTAGTCTTCTAAACAGCTGATGGGTCAAGCTCACATAAGCAAAGGAATGCACACGGAAATAGATCTGCCATATTTATTTACTAAAATAAATATTGCTGGGGAGCTACGTGACTCCTATGTGTTATGATATGGCTGTCCGTCATCGAAGTACCTAGTGATGACTACAAAGTACATACTTAATTAATGACATCTTATAGTATCAAGACAAAACTTATGTCTAAGAGGGAAAACATGATTTTTGTAAATAAATAAACATTATTATCACTTATTTTACGAGATAAATCATAAACCATCAAAATCAACTACCATTTTCACAATACATACACTTGAAACATCTATAGAAACCAACCATTTCATAGCCTTGGTGCCGCTCGAATATTGTAACGAATATATTCTTCTCGCACTACATTGTATATTTCATCAGAAATAAGGAACAGAACACCGAAATATACGAAAACAAGAGTTAACAGAAGACAAATATGGCGGCCACTGTGAACTTCACTAGCACAACGGCGTCTGAGTCTATACGGTAATCTTGATGATTATAAGAATAAAACTCACCTTGTAAAGTTCAATGTAATATGTTTTGCCTTTTGGGCCACTTGTTTGATTACTTTTCACGTCTTTCCCATCATTTGTAGAAGTCATTTCTTACGAAAATATCGCGGGGAGACATTTATGCGCTTGTGTTTTCGTAATTGTACTGTCAAAGTCAGTGTTACTATAGAAAAATAAGGTAACTACATAAAATGTAACAAATATAATAGCAACACTGGAAGTATGTTTCAAAAAGTTTGTTTTCCTTGGCTGCCACGTGCTTTCACAAGTAAAGCCTACCATCCACTATCAAAGCGTCTTCTCTTCACTAATGATATTTAACGTTAAATTTTTTGGTAATTGATTTTTCTTGACCAATTCGTGACGTCACATCTATTGAGTCATGTCAGGAGGCAGTGTTTCTCACTTATTTCCTTGGAAAGTACGTAAAGCCCTGTATCGAAGAGTACAATAAGTGTAGGGAATCTGTTTGCGTCTGTTGACCTCCCACGGCTAACGTGACCAGACGTACTTACTATAAAGTTACTCTAAAGTACTTACTCTAAAGTCTAAGTAAGTAAGATTTTCTTATTAAAAAGGTTACCCGTATTTTTAGGTACTAGATGTCGTAAATAAATACTTAAATAAAATTATAAATATTACTAAAAATAATTATTACTAAATTAATTATATACATATAATTATACAGATTTATAATTAACATAATACTACTTTGCGATTATATACAACTTCAAGATAAAATTACTTAAAATAAAACTAAAAACAACTATTTACATGTTAAATTATTGTAATGTTGTTAATAAAATTGGTTTTAAAAATCACTGCAGCTGTCAAATATTCAAAGTTAAATGGAATAACTACTATTACTACTTAATTCTGAATTGTTCGAAGACAGGTACAGACCATCGCCATCTAATGACCAAAAATACGGTACCAATCTTTGGTACTAACTATTTACTAATACTCCTTTCAAGTACTTTTTTCTAATCTAATTGCCACTTGTTACCCTTTTTATGAGATAAGCCGGCCAACAAGCAGACCAGACTAAATATTACTTGATGACAAGCAATCAGACAGATCACCTGACGGAAAGCAACACGCAAAGAGTATAATAAGTATAGGCAACACGGGCCTCCGGTAATCTCATCTACACAACGAAATACAACGTAAGTATTGTATCAAAAAGCTTTACATAGAGAGAAGTGGAAGGAGGGTTGGGAGGCCTATGTCCTGCAGTGGAACGATCATGGCTGAAAATAATTAAATAAATAAATAATTGTTTCACGTCAGTTTTGTGTGAGGCTGTGAAATCACTCCGGTCAAGCCGGTCTATTCGTGCCAAAGCATGCCTCTCCCACACTTGAATTTCTATAAGGCTGTGGTTCACTTTGGTTGAATAGGATAGGCCCATTCGTGTTCGTGCCAAAGCATTGCTTTCCTACACTCGAATCCGCTTTCTTGTGTTCATACTCTTGAATTTTAGACTGCTATGATGAGTGGATAAAATTAACGCTATGCTATATTGAGTTGGTTTGAAATAAAATAAATAAATTATAAAACACTATTAATATGATTTGATTTTATGTGACTTTGTGTGAATAATGTTTGAAAGTGTCTATGAAAAGGGTTGCGATACTCTATGGCAATAAAATATTTTTTGAGGTTGGCAGTTTTGTAGTACAAAGCAAAGCGAGTTGTGTCAAGAATTACTGAGTTTTTTACGAAAAATAATCTCAAATTACAGTAGGAAAATGTAGAATTCATTATTCACGTAAAGTTCATTACGTATGAAATAAATTAATTGATCATATTTCCAATTATCATCGTTATCATAAACGTCTTCGCTAATAAAAATTGATGTGTCAAAGTGCACGGGAATAGAAGGGACGATAAATTATCACTTTTTAAGCTTAATTAGACAGTGTATTGTACTTTACCAGCGTTATTTTGCGATAATAAGGTGCAATAAAGTGTAATTGAAGGATTTTGGAGACAAGGGTGGAATAGGGCGTGTGATCCGACTCGGCACATCTGGCGAAGTGGCGACCCTTTATTACAATTTCTCTTCCTTCTCATTAATTGGCGGATTATTTATTGTTGACCCAATATTCTAGACCTGCACATGCTTGATTTTGAAACGAATACTTCATGCTTTGAGATTATTTTGCGTACCACGTATCTTTTTATTATTGCTTATCCAAAAAATGCTAATGTTACATAGTGTATTAATTTTCAGTGATTTTTAAACATTAGATGTACATATTAATTAGTTGTGTGTTTATAAGCGAACAGTCTGCTTAGTGTTGTGATGTGTGTATCAAGTGATTATAATATTTTAACATATTGTGAACCTATTGAGTGATAAAATTAATAAAATGGCTAAGAAATCGGATAATACCGGCGGTAAGCTGGTCACAGTTTCTGTCGTCGGACTTTCTGGTAAGAATCATATTTTTATTATTTATAAAAAAAATACATTATAATCAGGTATTCCTATCCTTGTTTTATACATTCATCAGTTATTTACCATATACCTAGTTAATATTTATCTAATAAAAGCAGTATCTCTGTAGTTATAATGTGACTTCTCTTCACAAACTCAGTAGTAAAGTATCCAAACACAAAGTAAATTCTATCTACAAATCCTAAGCCCCAACTTGTGGTAATCCAGTAACACAATAACTAGTTTAAATCAGTGAGTAAACATTAATCAATTACTCTTTTGTACTCCAAAACATAAATCTGCTAGAATTACTAGTACCAGGACATGTGGAATCACATAGGTAATATTCCATCTACAGGCCTTTTCTCTGAATGTTACCTTTTCCTCACCACCAGGTGACATAGTAACCAAACCACCCATAAAATATATTAAAAAAATAAAACTTTATCTAAATGCCTAAAGCCTGGTCTTGGTCCAAAGCCCACCCAAGAGTGTCTGGTATGTTTCCAATAATCCAATTAGATTTAAGTTAATTTAATAAATGAATAATGTTTCTATGGTCATATTGTCTGTTAAGTTATTGTTAGGTTAGATGACACATATTTTGATGCATTTTAAATGGAAAATATGTCAAATGATCTATCATATAGATGCACCATACAGTATACCTACATACCAACAGGCTTGTCTCCCATTGGTATAGGCAGAGACAATGGAATACCAAATACATGATGCTGGCATACATCTTTTAGTTGAGTAAGGGAATGTTTCACGAAGTCTGAAAAGCCAGCTACTATGTACCAGATGAATTTGAATACCAACATCAAGAACATAATTTGGAATATTTAGATTAACTATCTGCCATATAAATTTATATCAGGGACTTATAGGAGGGTTGTGAAACAGACCCTTAGACTAAAGGCAACCTGGAACTGACCCTCAATAGTTAGTGTCTATGGTTTAGCTATTATTACATCATCATTGGTTGTTTATTTATCTTTATTGCTAGACATCTGCTCTCTGATAACTAACAGCTGCTGTTAACATTTGTGTTAATAATGCCTCTCTTTAGTTAGATATTGAATAGAAATATGTCGAATACATTACAAAAGTATAAACTACACCTCATTAAATTCAACAATAGAGGAGGTCTTAGCACTCAAACACAATCTCTTACAGACAGACAACCTTTGTATGCACAAGCCAGATATGGCTTTACTTATCGACATGCCATTTTTCAAAGAAATGGTTTTTAAGGTCCTACATGTGCCATCAAAATTAAAATTAAGTAACCATTTTTCCTTAACTGGAATTTATGCTAGGATTTATTTATGCTAGAATTTATGCTTATAGGAAAAATGGTCATTAATTACTGAATCATCAATGGTAGGTATTCATATCTGAAAAATAAATGACATAGGACAGATTTTGTGATCAATGACATGCTCAAAATATTGTGTTGGGTGCTATCATTGACATTTGACATGCATGCCAATTATTGAGTTAGGGGCTAGGAATTCTAATAAAAGATTGTATTCTTGTAAATAATTATTTACTTTTATTTACTTGCACATTCTATGAAAGGTAAGAACAACAACAGAACGAAACAAAAACATAAAGTGCCACCTGGCAGAACTATTCAAAAACTAAACACTGTAAAGCAGCCAGTGTTATATTTTATTAATTCAATACTCCCACTAAAATATAACACTCTTCAAACAATAAACATATTTAAAAGAAACTATTCAATACAAAACAAAATATTATCTCTTAAAGTAATAAAAACCTGAGTTGGTAAAGTCTTAGTGAAAATATCTGCCAACTGACTTTTACTAGGAACATACTTAATTTTAATCAAGCCCAACTCAGCCTTCTCTCTTATAAAATGATACTTAATATCAATATGTTTAGTTCTTTTATGAAAGACCGGGTTATTTATTAGTTTGATTGCACTTTGGTTATCAACTAGTAAAGTTACACATTTATAATCCTCACCTAAATCTACCAGAAGTTGTTGCAACCACAATACCTCTTTGGCAGCTTCACAGGCAGCAACGAACTCTGCTTCCGTAGTAGAGAGAGCAATGGTCTTTTGTTTTTGACTGGACCAGGTAATTGGACCACCATTCATTATAAAAATATAACCCGTTGTAGACTTACGAGTATCAATATCACTAGCAAAATCTGAATCTGAATAACCAACTAAATCACCACCCTCTCCATACTTTATACATAAATCTTTAGTATTAATTAGGTATCTTATGACACGCTTCACAGCATTTACATGTACTTGACCAGGGTTGTTTACATATCTACTTAATAGACTCACAGCATAAGAAAGATCAGGTCTTGAAACAGAACACAAAAATAATAATGATCCTATAGCTTCTCTATAAGGAAAATCTATGATACCTTCATCAACATTTTTAGTTACAATTACATTTGGATCTGCTGGAGTACTTACTGGATAAGCATTTGACATACAAAATTTTTCAATAATTTGTTCTATGTAATCCCTCTGGTGAATATAAATATAATCATTTATTCTTTGAATTTCCATGCCCACATAATATTTTAAATTTAATAATTTTATTTTAAAAGCCTGCTTTAAATATTCTATTATCTCTTGAATAAGCAATTTACTAGCAGATATTACAAGAGCATCATCAACATATATTATTAAAAATATCTTAATATTATTAAACTTCCCAACAAAAATACAGTTATCAGCTTGAGATTGTACAAAGCCATATTTTAACAGAAAATTACTAAATCTTTTGTTCCAACAACGAGGAGCCTGCTTCAAGCCATACAGGGATTTATTAAGCTTTAATACACAATTTTTATTTAACTTAACTCCCTCAGGTACTTCTATAAAAATATCTTCTTCTAAATAACCATTAAGAAAAGCTGTTTTTACATCAAATTGTTGAATTGCTAACTTATACTTAGCTGCAATAGAGAGAACAATTCTAATAGAATCATATCTAGTTGTAGGAGAGAATATTTCTTGATAGTCAACATCTTTGATCTGTTTGAACCCTCGTGCGCATAAGCGAGCTTTATAACGTTTTTCATTTTTCTCATTCTTCTTAATTGTAAAGACCCACTTTGTAGTAAGCGTTCTCTGATCAGATCTTTCTATTACACTCCATGTATTGTTTTCTTTATGTGCAGCCAATTCCTCCTTGATAGCTTGACACCATTCCTTTTTCTGTGGGCTTTGTAATGCATCATTATATGTTTGAGGCAATGACAACTCAACCAGGTTCGCTTCAAACCGTCGATTATTTCTTGGTCTCAATGTTATGTTTGAGTGTGATATATTTTCTATTTCTTGAGACGGCTCATATGCTGGGTCTTCACTGTTACAGCTCATCAAGCTTTCATCAGACTCATTTTGATTTGTTTCATTTAATTCATTAACTGCATTCACTGATTCTGTTTTATTATTTTGCACAGCATTATCTTCATCATCCATAATACTAATCTGTGCAATATTCTTCCTTATTTCTGTAACCAAATGTTCATCAAAAATTACATTCCTAGATATTTTTATGGTTTTTCTATCTGTATCATACATTCTGTAATTGTTGTTGTCATAACCAACTAATATCATTTTTTTACTCTTCTTTTCAAACTTTGTCCTCAACTGATCTGGTACATGAACATATCCAACACTGCCAAACACCTTCAAATGACCTATTTGCGGTTTAGTACCATACCATAATTCATATGGGGTTTTGCCTGGAGTCTGACTGGAAGATGTTCTGTTCAATATATAAACAGCACATTGTACTGCTTCGGCCCATAGATATAGTGGAACATCTCTCGCATACAACATTGAACGAGCACTCTCCACTATTGTTCTATTCTCTCTTTCAACACGCCCATTTTGCTCTGGTGTGTACGGAGCAGTAAGCTCATGAACTATTCCTTCTTTCTCCAAATAATCTTTAAAAACATTGTTCACATATTCTTTTCCATTATCAGTATGCAATGTTCTAACACCATGCATATATTTATTCTTAACAATATTGTTATATTTCTTGAATACTTCCATAACATCATTCTTATTTTGAATAAAATATACATACCTGAAACTTGTAGCTGCATCCTTGAACAACAAGAAATATCTCATGCCTTGAACTGAAGCTTGACTCATCGGTCCACAGACATCACTATACACCAAGTCCCCAGGCTGTAGTTCTCCTCGTGTAGATTTATGAAATGGAAACCTACACTGCTTTCCATATGCACATGCCTCACAAACAAAACTTAGTTCATCATTTTCATTAATTTTTAGACCTTCTACTGTATTATTAACAAACATATTTTTAATTTGTTTTGTATTAATATGTCCTAAACGTTCATGCCATATTTTTATATCACTTTTATTATTTTGAACTAAGTTACAAGTATTTGAAACTATTGTTTTTATATTCAACTCATACAGATTATTTTCTCTTATTTTTGCACTCATCACTATGTCATTTTCTTTATATATCAAAGCGCTTAAATCCTTCTTTATAATAGAGTAATTTTGTCGTATAATAACTCCTTCTGAAAATAAATTCCTCCGTAGACTAGGAACATATAATACACTATGCAGTTCACTGTTTATCCACTGTCCATTAACATATCTCTTTATCAACACTTTACCAATGCCGGATACTTCTATAGCTTGTTGATTTCCTAATGTTAACGATTTCTGATCACATTCAAACAGCTCCACAAAGAAGTCTTTTCTGTAGGTCATGTGTGCAGAGGCGCCACTGTCTAATATCCACGAATTGTCTTCTGTTTTGTTGCAATCGACTTCCACATTAAATGCCAAGTTGTCAGATGGTTGTGTAGACTTTCTGTACTTATTTTTATTCGGAAAACGACATTCCTTTGCAAAATGCCCTCTTTTTCCACAGTTATAACACTCAAATCTGTGTTTAGTGGTTTTGTTTTGATTCACACTACTCCCACTATGTCCAGATTCAATTTG